TATCGATTTTAGTTGTTTATTGTATTGAAAATTGATTTATAATAATTATTTATGAAGTTATCATGTTGTAAGTAGTTATAGATATATTGTAAGTAGTAATCCATGATCTAAAAGTTATATGGTAGTTTCTATACCTAACTCAATCATGAGTGATATGATGGAGTGATATAGTTACCTTTAGGTTCTATAAATAGGATCATAGTTTATGAAGTAAGATAGTGTTTATGCACTTGAAAATATCTTATAAGTGTTGTATGTCTTTCCTCTTATTTAAATACTACATCGATTTTCTTGATCGAAATGATTCTTTTTAATTGCATAGTAGTATTTTATTTTTATCATTTCCTTGCTCCTCCGTCCTTAATATTTGTAGTATCAGAGTTAAGTTTCAATCTGAACTAGGTATTATAGCTTTCAATGGTAATTCCATATCGAAACCCCTTATTCTCATTTTCTTGGACAAATACAATAAATTTTAGAATATCAAGATGAAGACTTTATTCAAGTCTTAAGATCTTTGAAACTAAATAGAAAATAGATATGCAAATCCAGATAATGAAATCATGTCGAGGGAGAATAGAAAGGACTCAAATGCATTGTTATTCATTCAACAAGCTGTATATGAGACAATCTTCTCAAGAATTACAGTAGCAACAACCTCAAAGCAAACTTGGTTGATACTTAAAAATGAATTTCAAGGCTCATTAAGGGTGATTACGGTAAAACTTCAAACCCTTCGTCATGAATTTGAAATTTTATTCATGAAAAGCAATGAATCGATGTAAGATTTTCTTTCTCGGTGATTGAAATTGTTAGTCAAATAAAATCTTATGATGAACGTCTTCCTGATCATATAATTATTGTAAAAGTTTTAAGAAGTTTAACTTCAAAATTTGATCATGTTATTGCTGTAATTGAAGAGTCAAAAGATTTATCTACATTTTCATTTGATGAACTAATGGGTTCTTTGCAAGCACATAAAGCAAGGTTGAACATATCACTTGAAAAAAGTAAAGAAAAGTCATTTCAGGTTAAGAAAGAGTCTTCTACTTCAAAAGAAGATAAAAAATCAATAGGAAAAGGACGTGGCAGAGGAAGATTTTGTGGTAGAGAAAATGAAAGAGGGATAGAAAGAGATACTTTGATGGGTATGATGAACAAAAGCAATCAAATTATAAAAAAAAAACTATAAAAGTGGAATTCAATATTACTATTGTAAAAAGTTTGGTCGGTAGATTGCTAAAAAAGAGAAAAATAAGCAAGCTATGTAGAGAAAAAAATGAAGAAAATAATAAGTTATTTATGACTCATTCATAAGTTATTAATGATATCTCAAATGATATTTGGTTTTTGGATAGTGGATGTTCTAATCATATGTGAAGCATAAGATCAATATTTAGATATATTGATGAAACTCATAGGTTCAAAGTTAGATTTAAAGATAACAAGTAAATCCAAGTGAAAAAGAAAGAAACAATTAAGGTGAAGACAAATCAACGGAAGGAAAAATACCTTGATAATGTTTTTTTTGTTCCTAGTTTATCGCATAACTTGTTGGTTGTTGACCAATTGATAGATGATGAATATTTAGTTATATTTGATGATGGTTTATGCTCTATTAAAGATAAAAAATCTTATTTAATTACAGTAAATATTTGCATGACGTAAAACAAGATGTTTCTATTTGATGTTTCAAATGTTGAAAAATATGCTCTTGTTGCAACTCAAAAGAATGAGTTTAATTTGTGACATTTAAGACATGGACACCTCAACATTAAGAGTTTAAGGTTATTAAATAAAAAAAAATGATTTTTGGATTGTCTAAAATTAATACACTTTATGTATGTGAAGGATACATTTATGACAAATAAAGTAAAAAATCATTTCCTATTAGAAAAGCATGGAGAGCATCTAATTATCTTGAATTAATTCATATATGTGAACCTATGAATATAAAATCATTTGGTAAAAGTCAATATTTTCTATTGTTTATTAATGATTATAGCCATATGAGTTGAGTATATTTTCTGGAATTAAAATCTAAAACATTTGATAATTTTTGAAAATTCAAGGTACTTGTAGAAAGGCAAAGTGGTAGATATATAAAGATACTTCGGATGAATAGAGGTGGTAAATTTTTATCTAATAAGTTTAATTATTTTTGTGAAGAAAATTATATTCATAGAGAATTGATAGCACCATATATACCGAAGCAAAATGATGTAGCTGAACGTAAGAATTGAACTATCGTTGAAATAACAAGAAGTTTGCTTAAAGGAAAACACATATTCCAATCATTTTTGGGCAAAAGCAATTACAACAACAGTTTATTTGTTGAATATTTCATCAACAAAAGCTGTTATGAATTAAACTTCGGTCAAGACTTGGTATGGTATAAAACCAAGTGTAAGTCATCTAAGAATTTTTTGTTATATTACTTATGCTTTGGTGAATTCATAAAATTATCACAAGCTTGATGAAAAATATGAAAAATGTATCTTAATTGGTTATTCCTTATAATCCAAAGCATATCGATTATATAATCCTATTAGTAGCAAAGTTATTATTAACAAAAATGTTATGTTTGATGAAAAGAAAAGTTAGAATTTGGAGACTAATAAAAGTGGAACACAAATTCAAATTCCAGTAGAATTAGATGCTCTACAAAATCAATTGACAGATCTTACTCCAATAAATTCATCGTCAACCTTAGTAGCAATTAAAATTCTGATTCCTTAGATGAAACCCCTCCAGGAAAATTCAAATTACTAATATAAATTTATGACTCAACATTTGCTTTATTTATTTTAGATCTTATTATTTTTAAGGAAGTAGTTAAAAAGGAGGAATGACAAAAAGTAATGAAGGAAGAAATAAAATCAATTGAGAAGAATGAAACTTGGGAGCTAATAGATCTACCGAAAGAAAAGAAAGCTATTTGATTAAAATGAGTGTTCAAAACAAAGTTTAATGTAGATGGAAATATCCAAAAGCATAAGGCTCGACTTGTAGCAAAAGGATATTCACAGCAATAAGGTATTGATTTTGATGATACTTTTTCTTCAGTTGCCAGATTCGAAACTGTGAGAACTTTCTTAGCTTTAGCTGCTCACTTAAGTTGGCTTGTTTATCAATTTAATGTGAAATCTATATTTTTAAATAAATATTCATACGAAGAGATTTTTATTACTCAACCTAAAGGTTTTTTAGTTAAAGGACATAAAAGAAAAGGTGTATAAGCTAAAGAAAGCTCTTTATAGGTTTAAAGAAGCTCTAAAGGCATGACACAATAAAATTGATTATTATTTTGATCAAAATAAATTTAAGATGAGCAATAATGAATCTACTCTTTATCTAAAGAAGGAAGATGAACATAATATTCTAATGGTTTGCATTTATGTTGATGATATTATATATATGGGTTCATCTAACTCTTTTGTAGCAAAATTTAAAAAGTATATGATGAATAAGTTTGAAATGTCAAATCTAGATTTACTGCATTATTTTCTTGGGTTGGAAGTAAAATAAGGATCAGATAAAATTTTTATTTCACAAAGAAAGTATACAATGGATCTACTCAAAAAATCTAATATGATTAATTGTAAAGTTATAACAATGAATGTAAATAAGAAATTGAAACTTGAAGGTAGTATATGTTTGACAAATGCAAAATACTACAGAAGTTTGGTTGGAGGTTTGATTTATCTAACTCATACTCGACCAGATATTACCTTCTATGTTGGTGTAGTAACCAGGTTTATGCATAGCCCAAGCAAACATCATTTCAAAGCTATTAAAAGAATTCTGCATTATATTACTGAAACTACAAATTATGGTATTTGGTCTTCTCATAATTTTAAATGTAAATTATTTGGTTTCACTTATAATGATTGGGCAGGAGCTTTAGATGATAAAAAGAGTACTTCATGTAATATTTTTAGCCTTGGATCATGAGTTACATCTTGGAGTTAAAAAAAGCAAGCAATAGCTACGTTATCGATATCAGAAGCAAAATATGTAGCCACAACATCAGCAACTTGTCAAGCAATATGGCTTAGAAGATTTCGAGAAGATACTCATTAAGAACAAAAAAAAAACGACAAAAATATTTTGTGACAACAAAGCCACAATTGCAATGATGAAGAATCCAACATTTTATAGAAGAATGAAACATATAGAGATACACTATCATTTCATCCGGGATCTTGTAGCAAATAGAGTCATAGCAATAAAATATTATGGAACAGATGAACAAATTGTGGATATCCTCACCAAGTCGCTTCTAGTTCAAAATCATATTTATTTCATGTTGCAAATCGGTGTATATAACTATGAATTAAGGGGGAGTATTAAGAATTGATTCATAGTAGTTATCTAGGTAGTTACCATGTTCTAAATAGTTATAGACATATTCTAAGTAGTGACCCATGATCTAGAAATTATGAAAAAGTTTCTACACCTAACTCAATCATGAGTGATATGATGGAGTGATGTAGTTATCTCTAGATTCTATAAATAGGATCATAGTCCATGAAACAAGATAGTGTGTGTACTTGGGAATATCTTATAAGTGTTCTATGTCTTTCTTTTTGTTTAAATACTACATCAATTTTCTTGATAGAAAGAATTTTTTTTAATTACATAATAATATACTATTTGTATCATTTTCTTGCTTCTCCATCCCCTTCTCCCTCCCCAAAGTATTCTTCGTTGCATGGCATGTCACACTGGTATAAACGTAGCGCATACGCGTTCTCTCGGTCACACATGCCTCACCCTGTCATCTATCATCCTCTGCAAAGCACAACTCACACTTCACACCACACTGTCCTTTTTAACCTCCACTCATCTCTCCCCACCTTGGCTTACAACTCCTGCTCCTCAGTCCTCTCTGTGGAGCCACCTTCTCACTCCGGTCCCCAGCAGCACATGATCATTTATGCTCACTCCTCACATCAGGCAGCACCAGGCCAATCAATATATAAGTAGTGCTCCTGCTGCCTAGAGGAGGAGAGGGATAAGATCTGAAGAGGGTAAGGGAGGAAGAAGACTCTCATGGAGCTTTTCCCAGCACATCCTGACCTATCTCTGCAAATTAGTCCTCCCAACAGTAAGCCCACAGCAAGCTGGAGTAGAACTGCTGATGGGAATCTTGGCTTAGGGTTTTGCAGGAGAGCCATAGACTCCTCACACAAAAACACCACCTCAGACTCCGCCGCCACCAAGAAAGCCCACCAACTCCACTTCCAACAGCGCAATCCGTTCCTTCACGAAGGATATCGTCGGGATCTTAGTCCGATAATGCCCATAAGAGGGGTTCCGGTGTACCACCGCCCTCCTGCCTTCCACTTCGGCCTTCGAAACCGGCAGCACCAGCCACATCCATGTGACTCGACGTCGCCGTCGAGGTCGACACCGAGACTCCTGCCGCGGTTCCCTGCGAAGCGAAGCACGAGGGCGCCGAGGATGCGGTGGACGACCACGCTCCATGCCCGCTTCGTCCATGCTGTGGAGCTGCTGGGAGGCCATGAGAGTGAGGAGATGTGAACCTCTTGTTTCTCTTCGCATGTTTCGATCGCGAGTACTGACCGATGACTCTGGTGAACCTGTTTGGATGTTAGGGGCGACGCCGAAGTCGGTTCTTGAGCTCATGGACGTCAAGGATCTCACCTTGGCTCATGTGAAGTCTCACTTACAGGTACCGAGCGACCGTAGGATATGCTGCTGCTTTGGCTTGCGGTTGCTTCTTTTCCATGAAGTATTTAATATGGCCTAAATAATATCATATGTATGAGAGAGAAAGAGGCCATGTTTTGATGAAGCATTTATGTTTGTGTGTGTATGATGGTAGATGTATCGAACGGTGAAGACCAGTGATAGACAAGCAGCTTCTCCTGGTACTGCAGCTTCAATGTCTTTCGGTTTGCTTCTTATTTGGGTCATTGCAATGCATCAGGTTAAAGGTCATGTTTTCCCCTCTCTTAGGGCAAGCTGAGTTCATAGAGTTTTCTGATGACAACTTGCTCGAGATCCAGGGACCCGGAGCTTCTACTCAGCAAGGAAGGTCTAATGGAGATAGAGGCACCAATGATCATGGCTCCTGGAGCAATTCTGCCAGGTGTAGAATATGCATCAATATATTTATTTCTGCTCAATTCTTTTATAGCAAAAGCTATTTTTTTTTCTTGATAGATTTATTTTTATAGTCAGAGAATGCTAATCTTCATATCAAAGAAGAGAAATGAATGCTTCATATACATATATTGTGACGTTTGTTCCTCCTATTTTGAGAGTTATATGTCATCTTCTTCTCTAGAAAATTGAATTGTCTTTCTTCTAGCAAAGCCTGCCAGATATAATAATCTTTACTTTCTGACATGAAACTACACTGAAAAGAAAAGAAAAATAATAGGATGGATGAGTGGTACAATGTACTTTTAAAAGTAATCTTTGTTAAATGCCACTAGGCTGATATGATAAAAGAAATCATGATGATCTATCTATCTACTTTAGGCAGGCAAAGTCATCTGCATTATCAATCTTCATCCAAGTGCTCAAAAACAGCAGCAAAGATCATAGCATAGCTTTGTTCCCCCCATGATCGTGCAATGATCTCAAAAGTACTTTAAGAACTAGAGAGTCTACTCGATTACCGTCTCATCCAAAAAACATGCTCTCTCTTTTTCGATGAGGTCCTCGCAATCTTAGTGTAGAAGTTAAGCCTTTTGAGACTTCATTGCACTTTGTCCTAATGGGTAACGGGCACCACATGGGAACTGCTCATCACCTTTAATTCAATGGGTAAAACTGATAAAGGAAGCAATTCACAAGAAGCAAATAGAGAAAGACAAAGTACTTCTTCTTCTTCTTCTTCAAGTATGCTCTTATCTTGCAATGGGCTTTCGCTAATGCAATATATTTTCTCTTTTTTGCATGCAGCAAAGGAGACTGCTTCCCTGATAGTCCCGGTGGTGATTCCACCAAATGGACCAAAAACTCAACTGAGGTGACCACCTTCTTCATGTTATAGATGAACTCACCAAAAGATTTCATGTAGTGTTTTGCTGTGCAGGATATGCAATCAAAAAGGTTGGAAATGATACCCAACCTGAACTCATCGAGCTTCTCGGAGACCAAAATGATAAAGCTCAATCTTGAGTTTACCTTGGGAACGCCACATTCCATCTAGTCTTCTCATCCAGCACATTGTATTATCAGAAGTGATGTGAGGGGGGAGAGAGAGAGAGAGAGAGAGAGAGAGAGAGAGAGAGAACTTATGAAAGCTGAAAGAGATTGCATGTCAGATGGCTCTACTGATACAAGTCATTAAGACCAAGAAGAAGAGTCTCTTTTAGTCCTGCCATAAAAGCAGGAAAGGATCGGGTTTCTTCGTTCGATTGCATGTGCACGAGGTTGCTTTTGTAGTGTCCCAATAAAGTGAAAGGTGAAGCGCGATGTTATGATCCAAATGCTGACAGGAGATGTGTTTATGGAATAGAAACTCATTTTGATGTTCCATCACTCCTTCTTCCGTGGTTGTGTTATTACAAAGAACCAGTCACAATACGTTATATTAAGATTCTGAAATTATTTGGAATTGTGATCTAATTGGAGTCTTACGCTACATCTTATTTCATCCATAATCTACTGCATGCTGACAAACCTGCATGTCGCGGAACGAGACGACGCCGTCAGATCCTGTCCGCTGCAGGAGCGTATCAGATCGGATGTCTACGCCTTGCATGCGTCTCTCTCTCTCTCTCTCTCTCTCTCTCTCTCTCGTATATAGCCTCAGCCTTCTACGGCTTTACAAGTTTAGCTGAGCCTCATACACACGTCTACGTGACCTTTTGGACCTTTTCCTTGTTCTTCTCACTCCAAGATACTTATCACTACTCTTAATGGGGCCCATTCAAGCATGTTCTTTTATTAGTCAAAATGATAAAAGGCATCAAAAAGAGGAAGGAGAGAGAAAAAAGAATGCGTACCCACTGATTTGTAATGTCTTGTGTTTGTTTGTCTCTCTCTCTCTCTCTCTCTCTCTCTCTCTCTCTCTCTCTCTCTCTCCCTCTCCTGTAATGTCTTGGAAGCAGATAGGTACAAGACTGGCATATATTGGGAGACAGGGTTTATTTTACGAGTATATTTCTCTTGCAAATAGTGACACTTTTGGAAGAGAGTGAGGTGACAGGCATGCTTTCTTGATTAGCTCGGCCTTGTCGATCAACCCTTCCTACTTCAGCCACACCAATATCTTCCATGATGATTGGAGAAAGGAAGCCTTCTGCTGTGATGGAAGATAGCGATAGATCTAGTGGGAGTTGACAGCCAGAAGAGAAAGGAAATTAATCTTCCGCTGTGATGGAAGAAAGCAGCGGTTGTTGACAAGCAGCAGGTCACAGAATCTAAATCGCTTGTGTTAAATGCATGAATTGGATGAGAATTTGAAGGTTACCTGCGGTGTCTCGTACGCACATGTAGTAGATTCTGATCGATTGGTTGCAGAAGGCGCCAGTGAAATGCTGATTCTCTGCCTCCCTCAGTCCCACTTCCTGTGAGAGTAATAAGGTGAAGCTCAAAACGGTGCCTTCTTGGACATCGTCCTCTCTCTCTCTCTCTCTTGCGCGCGCGATAATTGGTTCCAAGAGGCGGTAGCAGCGCTGCATCCTCGTTCGTACGAGTCTCGCCATGCGAGAATTAAGGGGAAGCTCAAGACGGTGTCATCTTGCACAACGTCCTCTCTGCAGCAGCACCACAAACCGATAACAAGAAAAGATGCATGCTCTCTGTTTCAGATCTGCCACCCCTAATCAGTGCGTCGCACCTGCACCTGCACCAATAAGTAACTCCTACCTGCAAAGATGACACTTCGATGTGAGCTTTTATGCGTATCACGAGAAGCGAGGAAGAGAGAGAAGGGTAGTAACCAAGAAAGATGAGAGAAGAGAAGAGAGAGAGAGAGAGAGTGTGTGTGTGTGTTTTGTGGGGGCAAAGTAAATGATAAGGCACTCGATTGCTTTATGATTGGCAGATGCAGGGGGCAGGCAGGCGTGGGCGGGCAGTCGTGCCATCACATCGGCGAGCAGGGGATGACAGGTAGCTCGGGCTTCTGATCCTGCGATAGCGACCCGACCACGCCCTCCCCTGTGTCCTCGTCCGCCCGGCTTTCAAGGGCCTGTCGCACGAATACATGCACGTACACTACCTTCTTTCCTCCTCTACAGGCTAATCTTGAATTAAGTACGACAGCTACCGGTAGAGGGAATTGATTCACGCAGATGAGAGTCGTTTGTTGGTTTGCAACTGCGAGGAAATTGATCCTGATGTGACCAGACGGCGGCTCTGCGCTCACAGAAGTATGAACCACAGGTCAAAGTAGTAGTAATAGACAATAGAAATGTAGATAGTATTTGGAACAAGTTCATCTGGCTAAGCTGTGGGATTTGAAGAGAAGCATTTCTGTCATTATCATCATAATGGTCCATGTGAAAATAATTTCAGATACGAACAAATATCATGCATGCATAAATGTGCATAAGAAACAATGTCAATAATAAATCATCATCATCATCAGTTACAGTTGTTATGATACGCGGTTGATTACACTGAAAAAAACATGGGCCAACCCGATGCGGCCCAGTTACTTTATTGGTCATTTTACTGGCTCATCGCTTCCCAATTTCTTTACTAGAGGATTAATTGAGTTGGCCCCAAAGAAGTTTGATTAATGTCATCATAATAAAAATAAAAATAAAAATCCATTTTTTAAAATTTCGATCACTGGGAAAATAAATACAACTTCTGAAGAACCCTCCCTAGCTGAGCTTTCAAGTAACAATCATATTTTAATAGGCCAAAAAGACTCCCAACTTTACAATTGCACTAGCAAAACTGGGCAAAGAGCAAATCATATTGTGTAAAAGAAACAAAAGACATGATGACCACGCAGCAGTTGCTGGTTTTCTACATGGATCAGGCTCCAATTATTAAAGCACAAAAACCACCAAACTTACTTCAGGCATGACTTCGGCAAGAGAAAAGATAAGACAATCCCCCAATCCCAAAGAGATATTGTTTCCACCGTGTCAAGAGTTGTTTCGCAGGCTTCTAGACGAGGGTTCTGGTGGCTCGTGTCTAGCCATGGGTGGTAACTGCAAAATAAGGGCAAAGCACAAGGACCATTACGACATGTTCCATGCTCGCTCTTTCATTAGCTTTCGTAACTACAAACGAACAGAAATAAGTAAAATGACGTTGAACAACTTTTGTATGACTGTGAGATGCGAAAATTATGATAAGGGAGCATATAGAAAGTGTAGATACTCGATGCGTGCAACTGTTGTTGGAGAGAGATCGACAGACAGCTGCTGTTTTTCTATTTTTTGGAACTATATGTCCTCTGTATATATAAACACAAGAAAATAGAAGAACTTGAAATAACACGAGCATGAGTTTTCTTACAATAAAAGATCAAACAGTTTAGTGGAAGGAAAGTAAGCTGTGATTTGCTCATTGTGCTATACAGCTTATTAAATGACACAGTGAAAGAACAAGACATGTATGTACAATTCTATAGAAAATTATAATATGTATAATGGAGCTTGGCCGATACAACCCGACACTATAGACTATTACAGACAAATATGTAAACAAGATGTTTGAAATAATGTTTGCATATGTCCGTATCTCTCGATTTTATTCATGCTTTGCACAACATATTGAGGGCTGATAGTAGATTTGATAGTCTCATTTTGGTTAACTTTTGCAGTTGTTTCAATCCTCTAAAAGCAGGTTGTGTGTAATCATCGCACAAAAACAAAACTGTCTAGAAACAGATCATCCAAAAGATCATTTTGAGAGTTTTCTAATTTCGTAAAGTAGTATGAAATGTCAATTAGCACAGCATTCAGGAGCTACCCGAGTGACATATGATTAGATGAGCTTTTGGAATAGTGTTTAGAGCTGGTTCGCTATCTTATTCCTCAGTAATATCATGTGGGTACTTGTGGGGATTTTTTATCATGGCGAACCATTTTGGACCCTTTTGTCACAAGACCATTTAGAGCTTGTAAAGTTTATGTTTATAATTTGTATTACTTATCAAGTATTTGTTGAAATGAATGCTTATGGGATCCTGAATTAAATGCTTTCTCTGATCCATCTTCTCTTTTGCAGGTGCTTAAGGGATCATAAGAGATTTTGGAGAGGTTGACCCTTTACAAACGGACACACATGGGTACCACACTACCTAAGCAAAATCAACTAAGTCCGTGACAAGACGAGCTCATATGACCTCCCAAAATATGGACATCTACAAGTTAGGAAACCGATAATTAGAATTTTTCAAAACCTTGAGTTAAAAGGAATTAAATTAAGCCAAAAACTTGAGTTCAATCATCAATTCACAATGAAGGCATGGCTGCCAAGTGAGGGTATTCGTACGGCAAGACTCGACATCACATAAAGTTTGTTCCACTGAGACATTGGCTTCACTCGTTAATGCCCCTCTACAAAAGAACTAATGGTTACCATAAAGAATAAGGTGCCATATGCATAAACATACAAAGGAAAAGCAAAGACGCGAGAGATAGTCCTAGTAATTATGATTACGGAAAGCACTATGAGGAATCCAAAGACTTGTGTTCATCATCAAGAACTAGGACTAGATGGTTATGAAAAGGTTAATATTAAATAAAACAAAAACAGCAAACGGAAACTTGGAATTTAAAGTGGTTCAATGATTTACATAACCTACTCTATTTACAGAGTGCCGTAAACTAAAAAAATCAAATCTGACACAGCGATCTGTTAGCATTTGCAGCATTTGTTAAATATAAAAGAAATCTGACCTTGTGTTGCAGCCTCATTATTGTAGAAACCAACAATTTGTCCCCAATGATCTGCCTTAACTTTTTAATCAGGTCAATTCGGTTTATTTTTCTCTTCTGGTAAAAAAAGAAAAAGAAATTATTATTCAGGAACCTAGACTAGGTCAAGCAGAAAACAACACTTTTCAGGAGGGCGTTTAGACCTTGAAGTCATTATAATGAGTGTGAACCAAGTCCATGTCTTCAGTAGACACCTTAGTTGAGATTGCTGCAAATAACATTGAGAAGGGCATCCATGGTGAGGTTGGAATTCTTGGTGCTGCTCTAGACACTGGAACCTGAGATTGATTTGTGCAGCCCAGATTTGGCTGAAAAGTCTTATCCTACAGTACAAAAGAAAATAACAATTATAGTAACAGGCAGACATAATACTGAAAGCAAACGGAAAAAAAAAAAGATCAATTAGATGCGGAGAAAAGATAGCCGCACTAGCTAAAATGCAATATATCACTCAAAAAGGAATTTATAAATAATTAACTAGACTTTCTGGTTATTCAAACTCGGATGCAGTGGAAAAAAAGATCATTTAGATGCAGAGAAAAGATGGTTGCACTAGCTAATATTGTTGTACAGAACACAGGATCAGAACAGAAGTATATATTGAGAGAGATACTAAATCTCTTTCGCAATCCAACCATAAAGCCCACCTTACAGATAAATGTAAATACTTTTGAAGCATGAATATGAATATTACTAAATCTTGAAAAACTAAAATTCATCATGGCATGGATAAGGTGATCAAAATATTTGACACAATAATATATGTAACAACAGCTGACATTTTTCTACAGTTTTCAAACAGTATTTATATCTCATGATACAAAACAAGCAAACGATCAAAATTCCTAACCTACTATTCAGAAAATAGTAGTGACAGATAGAGAGAAGATAGCAAAAGCTTAATAATATGGTTTTTTTTAAACTCATGAATCATAATTTGATGCTTAACAAAAATCACACATAGATAATCTATCTGATCTTATATTCATTTCTACAGTAAAAATTATAGAAAACAAATTCTCCTAAGTAGTATCTATCAGATATCAAATTATGTATCATAAAAATATCTGATAGTTTTATAATTATTAGAAAACATATATTTCAATGAAATATCGAACATGCATTCAAATGTACCCTTTACATTGAACATGTAACCAATACAGATACTGTAAGCATTCTAAGTATGTTATGTGATCAAATAAAGAAACTATTCATGGAACAACTGACTTTTCACAACTCAAGCCTTATTCCCGGTGCAGCATTCCAATGAAATATGTTGGGGTAGGAATCTGCAAATTGTAAGACACACCTGTAATAAGCTGTGAGGTGAATTAGAATTTGTGAGGGCAGATACATTGCATGTACTTTCTTTCCCAAGCAAACATTCTGCAGTCACATTAGTATGCAAGTATTTCAGAAATTCCATCCATAATTGTAAAAAAATAATCCACAGAAATTCTCTAAGTAATACATCAAATGCATTACCTTCAACTTTGGAGGTTGCTTGAAAAGTCACTGTGAATTCTGCATAGATATAGGTATACAAATTCACATCCCAAATAATATAATGCTTTGGCTTATGAAGATCATCTACACCAGTGTCAAAGTTTTCATTACTAGGCTGACACTGATTTGATCCAGGGTGAATGAGTTCCACATTTCCCATTATAATGCGGCACAACATCAGGTATATGATACCATTTTCATCGACATCACAATACCTAGCACTGTAGACAGCATATGCAAGTGAGTCATTGTTCTACACAATTCATTATAAAAAATCTAAGAGAAGTAAATAACAGGTGCACCTGGAGATCCAGATGAGAAATTGTTGGCAGCCTTTATGAAAGAAAAATTAAGGTCTTCCTGAAGGTGCACAAACATGACAAATGTAATATGAAAATGAAACCTCACCAGATATTGGAGCAATTTGTGGGTGTGAGATGAATGCCATTGCCATAAAGACGTTCATGAAAAGGTGGTTTCAGAACCCCATGCATCATCATCTCTTCCACAGCATCCTTGGTTGAAGCAAGCCATGCATAGCGGACATTTGCATTGCCACGTGCCTTTTTAGTGGTTTCAACCCACTCTTGGAAAATGTTATACCGAACTAGTCCTACATCATTTCTCAAAGGAGTCCTATGAATTCCAACTATATTTTTTGGATCAATGAACTTGCCCAGACCTTGAAGTAACATATTCTGCACAGCTCTATTAACATGGTGACCACCAGCAGGTGCTTGACAAGCTCCGAAGGCAGGAATATTTAGAGGAAAAACAGAACCTGGGTCATTTTCTCCAACTACTTCGTTGACTTCAGCATAAGTATTTTGGTCACTGGTAGAATTTTCTTCACTCTTAACCCTCTTGAGATTAGGTATAAACCCATTGTCAGCTCCAGAACTTGAACTTTTAGCTGCACTATTGGAAATCTTAAATTGTGCAGTGACTTCATGTGTACCATTTGGTTCAGGACTCATGTAAGCCCGTATTTCTTTGTTGGAATGATAGCATCTATTTAATGCATACTGGTGGGAGTGTAATTCTGGAAAGAAGGATTTGCCATGGTCATCAATCCAAGCTACTGGCTTAACCAAACCTGTTTGCAAAATCACACAAACCATGTGAATGAAGTCCAACAAAAAATGTTGATTCTGATAACCTGCTTCAGTAATTCCTTTCTTTGACCGAAAATCATCCTGAACCAAATGGACAATATTTTCCGGAAAATCTTCCCATTGATCATTCTCATAAAACAGCACACGGTGTGGCAACCCACTTTTTATGAAGTTGCGATAATTCTTGACAATATGGTTCCCTGGATAGCAGATTAGGCCAGTTTTACAGCTCATTCCTGTGTAGACCTTTAAAGAAGATTGGACTGCAGTATGTGGATGTGCTACCAGACCATGGCTATCATTTGTCACATATACAGCAGAATCTCTCTTCCTTTTGAGATCACACTTTTCGCCTTTATCCAACACCTTTACATTCTTCTGTTCCATTTTACTCACAAAAATAACTGTAAACCACCAACTAATTCATTCTGATGTATTTCTCTTCACAAAGGCTGCCTACTAATTTACAATAATGTACGACTTTGCATTGGTGTATAGCCAGAAAAACTTATGATAGGGAAGTCAGTGAATATGTTTACCCTGCAACAGTATCCAAAAGTCTCTTAAGTTCTAAAAAGACATTAAAGCTACAACAACCAGATTAGACCAAACAAATCAAGAAGAGAAAAAATATGATGACTTTCATTTATACATGAAAGTAAAAGGCCTTAATATAATTGGTGATGGCAGAGGAGAAGCATTTAGTTCACATAAGAGCACAAAATGACAAAAAAGGAAAGTACAAAAGGAACAGTCTATGACCTACTATAAACAGTGGAACAAGAAGGCCTCAAGTTAACATGTTAGTGGAGAACAAGCAACTTGGTATTGTGATTTCTTGACATTGCAACTCGATATGGAAGAAGATTAGACCTATGAATATACTTGTAATTCATTTTTTGATCAGGATGTCACATCCTGATAACATGATACCGCATCATTGATTTTTTTTCTTTTGTTTGCATGCACGGACAGCAAACATCACAGGTACAAGAAGTAGAACAAATTCGAACACAGCAACCAACAAGAAAACAACAGAGACAAAGACTCCGACATATGACCTCAGAATTGCAACCAGGCAATCAAGGATCATGCATATCAAATTCACAAGACAATTGACTCTCTTGGTCAACATGCATCATGGCCACAAAAATTCAGGAGACCTCAAAATTGCAAACAGACAATCAAGGATCATGCAAGTCAAGTTCACAAGACAATTGACTCTCTTGGTCAACATGCACCATGACCACACGTCATCCACCATGAAACGTCGCTAGATCACTTAACTCCGGAAGAAGTCCAGCAAGATCATAACTCTTCTTGGCGAATCGACGAACCATAACCCTAATCGATAACCAACTAAACGCAAAAGAGGACCCCGAACGAACCCATCCATCTCCAGAACTATAGAAAACACCATGAATTAAGCCGAAAAGAACATCGATCGGATTCGATAACCCATCCGGGAAACAAAGTTAAATCCCATAACATACAAAATTAAACCTCAGGCACGGGAGAAGAGAGGAGATCGAGAGGGGGAGACAAGGATCGATACCTCGACAAGTAAAGGTAGAGGCTCGGGTGATACATCTCAGGAAGAAGGCCTCTCGCCCTCTCTCTCATTCGATCTCTGTGGTCGGGATTCGGGAAGGCGGTTTCCGTTCTCTCTCGATCCGGAAGAATGTGGAGTAGAGCGAGGGAGAAGTACACAAACCGTAGGACCGTCGACGGTCCTCCCACGCTTTCTTGCGCCAAGAGGAAACCACGCGACCCCGCCTAGGTACATCGATCCGACGGGTCAGCGATGGCTTTAAAAGGTAGAATCTACTTGATCAAACTTTGACCGTTGATTGATCGATATTTTGAACGATGCAGGGATTGGGTCCCGGGTAAATAAGCGTGGACCGACTTGTGTGACGCTCCAGTGACGAACACGTGTTGGCGTAGTGTTGACGCATAGGAAGCAGGGGAGGGGTAAATGGTTTAGGTGGTGGGGCCACGTTCTGACGGCGCATACGTGATCCAAATTCCAATTCCACTTTTAATACGATAGACTTGTCTACTTTTGTAAGTGTGACAGACATGGCATGTAATACATATCCGTAACCATTTACTTGGAATGCTAACACCGACACGTGTCTCCATCATTCACCTTCGTCTGTTCTTCGGGAGCCGTTTACAATCGACTCCATCAACGGGACGGCCCATCGGACGGCTGATGACCGCAAGCCGCGGTTGATCCAACGGTCGAGATCTCCTGCTGCCACACAAACACCAGTACTCACGTCGACGGATCTTGACACGAACAAACAAACAAACCTACTTTACTCGTCCACCCGTAGTCCGGCATTTCCGACGCTATAGTGGGTCCCGTATGGCCCCGCACTTTCTACCCATTCCCAGCACCCGTAGGAAGAGGGTTGAAGAATATTGATCTTAAAGGCAATCTGGAATTTGAAGGGAACACACGACAGAACGAAACGAAGGAATCGACGAAACAGAGTAAAATAGAAGAGCAGCAGCGAGGACTTCCAACTCGGAGGCGGCGGGAAGGAAGCGTCGGAAGAAAGGGGCAACGGCGACGACCCACCCTCCCCTTTCCTAGGTGCTCCTCGTCCGTTACCCCTCAATCCACATTGCCGCTAGATTTCGACGTAATTGTGACCCCTCCCCCGTCTCATCTGTTTGGTCATTCGATTTGAAGCCGCGAACATTGTGATCGCTCGGTCCGATATTTGATTTACTGATGGTAAAGACCGGATTCTTTAGGTATTTCATGTTGATCGATCTCTCCTGCGTTGTGTACGATTTTGCTGGCTCGAAACCCGTAATATCCGTGTATTTTCTTCCTTGAATTTCCATGTTAGAATTCTGTTTTATATAGTTTAGCTATTTCTCTGATTGAGCAATCTAATATAATTAGGGAGAGATTAATTGATGATTAATTTTAAATTTCCATGATTGTGTAAATAGATTAGGAATTAATCTAGTTAATTAATCTGAAATTATTTTTTTATTTACCTTCTTTTGGAGATTCCTCCTTTTGCTCACAACGACTCTACTTGTTTTTCACCTGTTGACTGACAGTGGGAGGTAACGACAAGAATATCGGATAGTTACTCTTTCTTTCTTTAAATTCAAGATTACGATTTATATTTTCTGTGAATTTTAAGGATTAAAAGTTTTAAATTTTCATGTTGCATGACAATGTTTATTCAATTAGTTTAGATTGGAAATTTAAATTAAAAAATTTGCATATTTAAATTAATTAATTAATTTTAATATCATGATGGATTAATTTTAATGTTATTTTAATTAAAGTTTCGAATCATGATTAGTAAGATTAATAAAAATTATAAAATTCATCATATTATCTTAAATCAAATTATTGTAAGGTTGATTTATTCATTTAGTAGCATGTCGATTCATTTCATCTAGCATGTTGATTGAACTATTTAATAAATTTTATGATGTTTATTGTTCAATCACTTTCGTGTCTTATATTAAATTAAGCTTATTAGTTTTAATTATTTAATAATATTATTTTAAAATAGAATTGAAATCATATTGGAATTAGGTTGGTATTGGGTTTTATTCAAGCTAGACCATCAATCAAACCTAGCTGCATGTGGCATGAAAGTATTCTAAATAAAATCAAGAGGTATGTATCTTAAATTTAATTTATTATTATTTACTTTTAAAAATTGATATTAATTTTTTATATAATAATAATATGATTATAATTTTTATATTTATAAATTGATGATGTCACACAGAGAAAACAACCTAGATTTTGGAGAGAAATATAATTGCTGAAATATTTTCTTTCTTTTGTTAAAATAAAAATTTCTTTGTTAGATTTTTGCTTTATATAGTTTATATATTTCCTTAATTGAGCAATTTAACTAAAAATAGAATAATCAATGATGGAATTTTGTTTTAATGATTATGTAAACAGATTAGGAATAAAATTAATTAATTAAATTGAAAATATTTTTATTACTTTCTTTTGAGCCCTCGCTCTTCTCCCTATTTAAAGACAACCACTATCCTTGTTTCTCATCAGTCGGTTCGCAGCGTGAAGGAACAAAGAGAAGATCGTCTTGCTAAAGTGAGAGGTAGGTTGTTTACCTTTTTTTTAATTAAAGATTCTGATTTATATGTTCTATAAATTTTAGAAATTAAAAGTGTTTAATCTTTATGTTTTTTGACAACATTTATTCAATTAGTTTAAATTCAAATTTTAATTAATGAAATTTGAGTGTTAAATTTATTATTTTTTAAGGTCATGATGCATAAATTTCATTGTTATTTTAATTGGTTTAAGCCTTTAATCATGATTAGTAAAGATTAATTAAGGAATTTCATGAAATTCATGCCATTTTATCTTAAATTTAATTATTTTAAGGTTGATTTATTAATTTAGTAGCATGTTGATTCTTTTTAATTTAGCTTGTCTTTTGAGCTATTTAATGAATTTTTACGATGTTTATTGTTTGATCACTTTTACGTCTTGTATTAAATTAAGTTGATTAATTTAACTATTTAATAATATTATTTGAAAAATTAAAATTTAGATTGGAATTAGGCAAAATGGGTCCGAATTGGGTCTGGCCCAATTAAGACCATGAGTTACATGCGCTTGAACAGACCCGACGTGCTAGTTTGACATGGTTGGAGCCTCTGATAGCCCAACTTGGTCCATCCCATATCGAGTGGCCCACATGTAGCTTGTCCCCACGGCCTAACGCGTCGCCCTCCTATGCTGTGCTAGCACAACCACCGCACATGCGTTGCACGAGACGTCGAGGGCTTCAATGGCCCGATCCACCTCGACTAGTCTAGTAAGCTAGAATGGAACACATGATCGAGCCCCCAATTTTGGGCTATATTGTGGGCCACATGGGCCCAACGTATGTAAGCCATGGGTTGGTCTGGCTCAAGGCCCATTTGTGGCTTGATCGAATCTATTCAATTTTGATCGTTTAGTGATTCGAGAGGTGATTTCAAATTAGTTATGTGTGCTTCAAAAGTTGGTTTAGGTAAATTGGACACACTAAAGTCCATTTAGACTGCTTTATGGTGATTTGAGACCAATTTTAGGTGATTGATGTGTTGTTGGTTCAATTGGGTTCTAGTGAAACCATAGTTCAAGTCAATTATGGGTTGTCATAGGTTTGATGTTTTATAAATGATTAATGATATTTGAAGATTTATCTGAATTTATAGTTTTAGTAAATTACTGAAAATTCTAACTGAAAATCGACATATGGTCCAGTGGCTAATGTGATGTATAAGATTGGCTCATGAGGAAGTTATTTCCATTTGTAGATTAGTGGGTCGTCGGAGTGGTGGAATGGGCTAAAAGGCGAAAACCATGATATCAATCATTACACAATGCCTTCATCCAAACCCTAGATCCTGTTTCCATTTCCATCTTTGGCTAGGGTTAGTTGTTTAGGCTGTGTCAGGGCGTTTGTTTCTCATGAAGTTGTAATTATGTTGTTGCAATGCCCTTCGAAATAGGGAACACACTGTATAATAATGGCAGCACCTGTCAAATTTGTCAGCCTGCCTTTTGTTCTTGTCCCTCCGTTCCTTCATGGGTTGTTGCACAACACATGTTCGTAGCTTTGTATCTTAAAATTTTCTAATGACTTCAATCTTGCCCTTACAAGACGTTTTTTGCCCTAAGCAAGGTGGGAAGCTTTTTTTTCTCAACTTTTCAATTAGCGCTTTTAATTGATACGCCCATCAAAATCCCAGTATTTGGTCACTCCTGTAACTTCTTGAGATTCAAGAATGCCAACCTTGAGTTGTTTTATTTAACTTTTGTTAAAATTATAGATTTTGGTTTCTGCTTTGCAGTTGAGATTGGAGTGCAAAAATGAGCGACAATCTGATGGATAAAGTCAGTGCCTTTGGTGAGCGTCTGAAGATCGGTAGGGCCGAGGTGAGCCGGAAGATGAAAGATCGCATGAGCTCTATGAGCTTTAAGATGAAGGAGCTCTTTCATAGTCAGAACCAACCAGAGAAGATTGTGGAGGAGGCCACATCAGAGAACTTAGATGGTCCTGATTGGTCTGCCAACCTCATGATCTGCGACATGGTCAACGGCGACAATTATAATGGTATTGAGTTCATCCGTGGCATCAAAAAACGAATCATGTTAAATAATCCTAGGGTCCAGTATCTTGCCTTGGTCCTTCTCGAAACCTGTGTGAAAAATTGCGACATGGCTTTCTCTGTGGTTGCTGCGGAGCGGATCCTTGATGAGATGGTGAAGCTGATTGCCAATCCTCAGACTGTTGTGAATAACAGGAACAAGGCACTTGTTATGATTGAAGCATGGGGAGAGTCTGGGGACGAACTCGGGTACTTACCAGTCTACGAGGAAACCTACAAGGTATTAAATAGTTAATTCCTTCCAGAAACATTTTCAATAGTGTTATAGTAAGCACTGCATACTTCAGCAGTTATAGAATCCACAGTTGGTGGCAAATATGAAAACTTGGTTCCACTAAATATTCTAAAGGCATTTGGCTACCTTCTGTTTTCTAAAATTATTGTGTGGCAGTCGTTTTTGGTGCCTGCAGAGCAGAAGAATTTTCTAGTGCCATTTCATTTATTATAACTGTAGTTCTTAAAGGGCACCATGTGCATTTCCCATACAGGGTCTAATGCAGATCATGGTTTTATGGACCATAATCTGACTTAGGGCCACTGTCAAGCTTCTAAATTTTATTCATGACTTGTCATCGGCACAGTTATTGTCAGAAGATAATAGATTCCATTTTCATCATTGATGTCATTCGCCGTGAGCAAGAAGTGGCACCTTCGCAGTGTTGCAACTATGATATAAAATTATAATTTACCAAGTATTTATTGTAATATAAGCTGTCTTTGAGGAAAAAAGGGCGGTCTAGTGCACAAGGCCTCTGTCAATGTTTGGATATGGGAGGGGTCAAAATACCCAGCCTTACACTTGCAAAGAAAAAGGTTGTTTCATGACTCAATCTCTGGACACATTAACTTTATTATAATATAAGCTGCCTTTGCTGTGTTTAAATTTTCATTTGTGCAACTTGTTAGAACTTAGAAGTACTTGTTTTTCATGGAAAATACCCAAATTTATTATGCTTTAGTTAGACTAGCAGAAACAATCTCTATGCATGCTATCCTATTCTTTTTTATCTCAAATAATTTAGTTTTATGTTCTCCTGTTCTATCAAGTGTCTAGATTGTTTTTAGATATCTCCTCGAGTTCTTCACCACACCATGAGCAAATAGATCTGATACGGCTTTGTCTAGATATGATATATGATTATAAGTGATACGGCTTTGTCTACACCACACGTCAGATTTGTCTGCATATTCCTAATGATTTTTTTCCCTTGTAGAGCTTAAAATCTAGAGGTATTCGTTTCCCAGGACGAGATAATGAAAGCTTAGCTCCAATATTTACACCACCGCATTTAGTTTCGGAGACTGAAGCATCTAATAGTGTAGCTCCGCAGACTTCCGATGTTCCTATGGGAAATTTTACTGCTGAGCAGATAAAGGAAGCATTTGATGTGGCTCGAAACAGTGTCGAACTTTTGTCAACAGTTCTGTCATCATCACCTCATCAAGAAGTCTTACAGGTGATGTACTTTGATCCTCTTAAAAATTGATATCTTTTTACCTTTTGTCTAACAAAGAAGGTTGTTCATGTAATAGTATCTTGATTTCACGTATTGTTGTTCACTTGTTCATCTATATGGCATATTGTCTTTTGGTTATGTATGCCTTATCAAGTGGCAAAGCCATGTTGTCCTGGACCTGTTGTTTCTCACCTATTAATTTATGAAGCATGTCAAAGCATCTGTGCGGTTCAATCTACTGAATGGTCTAAAAATGATTTGGGTTTATATTTTTCTGTATGTTTGAATTAGCAACTTGGTTTTATTACTGGCATGTTGTATTTTAGAATGCATTATTACTGAGTCCTTGAATAGGTAATAGCATTACTAGGACTACATATTGAATGGAATAACTGATGCAACATATGTAGCCAACTCAATTTATGATGACCAAGTATATATTTATGTGATCCATATCCTTACAATCTGAAGTAAAAGCAAGATATTTATCACTATCTGCCTCAGCTCTATGATTGTTTAAAGTTTACTGAATTTCTGCTGACTGTTGGTAACTGTCCTGTCTCTCTGCTTCCAACCTTTCCAAAAAAAGGGACTATGTGCTATCATATTGTAGTCCATTTTTGAGAACTTTGAGTTTGCATGATAAGGATCTTAACCACAATATAGTAGGCCTTTTCATCCAATAATGGCTCAAACACCATGGACGCTTCAAAGCATGTTGCTTAAACCCTCATATGTTCTTGCAAAGTGCTATTTAGCAGGGTAATTGCAACAATGAATTGTATGTGGATGTCTCTTGCAAGGGCTAATCTTCTGGACTGTGTTTCTGTTTCTTTTTTTCCTTCTCACCTTCCTTGTATCTCATGATGATAGAGCTATTCTATGCATTTTTATCCAGAACTCATAAGTTATTGATTCACACCTGAGATTACCCTAGTGTTCTCATACTTGCTTGTGCTACTACAAATAATAGAAATTAAAAAAAAAAGTCTAGATGGAGCTATGTACCATGAATTAGTTTGTTGTACCAGATCATAGAAATGGTTGAAAGGCAACGTTGAACTAATATGCTGATCTCTTACGATCCCAAGTATGTGCAATATTTGAATGTGTACTAGTGCTTAGTGGCTGTTCATATTTACCTTCTTGATAACAGAGATCATGAGACTCTGTTTTGAGTGAAACTGTTTGAACTTAAAGTACCCATAAAAGGACTTGTGCTTAAGTGATCATCTTGTCAGTTTTATGTTATTTTCATTTGATTTCTGCTCCATTTTCAGAGTGCATTTACATATTAGCTTTGTTCCTTTGTACATGGATCATCTTGTACTATTCTAGCTTCAGCTATGCATCCATCCGCCTGGAGCCCACCTTGAGCATCCTAATCTGGAAGTCAATTTGAGAGAAAAACTATTTTTTTGTTGTGCTTGGAAAAATAATGGATTTTATTGGCCAACGTTACAGATTGACTTGATTAGGCTCACACAAAATTCAGAAATTTTGCTGTCTACCTAAACATGGACTTGACAAGAAAAATGCATGTATACATTGGGTTACCATCTCCATGAATCATTGGGTTATCATCTCCACGTATACACAAATTTGTTTGTTCTTGTTGTTTTCATGCCTTGTGTAACTGGCTTAAACTTGCCTAAACAGTTCATTTTTCTTCATCTAACTGAAATTTTTCTTAAGAAAGTACTTCAATTGTATTTGACTTTTCCTTTAGTCTTGAGCTCCTAACAGGCACCCCCTTACACTCTCTTGTGATGTTAACCACCTTAATTTCTAATGTTATCACACTTCCATGTTAATGTGTTTACATGTATGTTTACTTTTAAAATGTAAGCACACTAGCATGCTGATTGACAAGTCTATCAAGGACGGCACATCTCCAGTTGGTTTATGATCATCTTTTCCATTGGATTTGTGCTTAATTTTTGTCTGTTGATCATCAATTTAACAACTCTGCTTGCATTAAATAAATTCAAAGTTGATTATTCTCTTTATATTCAATGTAGAAAAACATGATCAGTGTCAAACAGTTGTAGTCTATTTGACCATTGTTTCTTTCTGATTCATTGAGAATTGAACTTATGTATGAACAAGTTCCTGCATCTGCATACATTTCGGTTTGGCTTTCAGGGCATATTGGCCATGTAGTTTACTTGCTCGATCGCTAATATTCTCTCTATGGGCAGGATGACTTGTCAAATACTCTGTTCCAACAATGCCGACAAAGTCAGTACACCATCCAGAGTATTATCGAGGCAGCAGGTGATGACGAAGCTGTACTCTTTGAGGCCTTAAATGTGAATGATGAGCTCCAAAGGGTCCTCTCCAAGTACGAAGAGCTGAAGAAGCCTCCTGAAGTGCCGTCTGAACCAGCACCTAATACGATACCAGTTGTTGTGGAACCTGAAGAATCTCCTCGAGCTGGCAGAGAAGATGCTCTCATCAGAAAACCTGCAGGTTCCAGAACCAAGCCAGATAGATATGAGACATATGACGACATCCTAAATGATCTAGATAAGATGATTTTTGGTACAGAAAAAGGTAGCACATCCGAGAACCAGAAGCCAAAGAAGAAGCAGCAACAGAGTGATGATCACACGTCCTTCTAATTGTTACCCTTCTCTTTATAGGCAAATTGTGGTGCTGATCGTGGTGTATGCTCTTCCTCTACTTGTCATTTTAGGAGGCAAAACATGCTCCAGTTTGAACTGGATTTCCTTTTTTTTTCATTGAAGAAAGTTTCTGAATCTGAACAGAGAAATTTTCTCATTTTTTTATGTAAATAAGGACATATTCCTTGTGAATGCCAGTTGGGGCCAATTTGAATCTAGCAAATAACCAATATATTTAAATCTATCTTGGGGTTAATAAAGACTATCCATATCTACATTCGTGTTCATGTTACATGATATTATGTATACCAATTGTTACAATGTGAGGATCTAACTTGTTTATTCTTTTATGGAATCGATCACATCCGGGTTCAGATTTAGGGTTATTTTGGAAGTAGAGCGGTCTTCTACTAATAATTGTCACATAATGATGCACAATGACATGGACATAATTGTCATGATCCAAGATAATAATTAATAAATTAATTCAATTCGTCTACTAATATTGAACTAAACTTTTAGTTTTGTGACGATCCGACCTGACGGAATAACTAACTTGTTATATTAAGTCTAAATTATTAATCCAAACTCATTAAATCTAACATGGGACTAAAATCTGAGTATTATAACCAAATATGACAAAAACTTCAAATGCATACAAATCATCCAGGTAATTATGTCATTGAAATCCTTAACTATATTAACTAGGAAACAAGTTCATATTTCACTTCTTTCTGCTCTCCGTGGGGAATTCTGGTAATCTCTAACAAGCAACCTTGCAAGTCATATTCCACAAAGGTCATTTCCCAATTAAAACTGAGTAGAGAAATCAGGCTTTGGAAAGAAACAGCTAAAAAATCCTAGCTAAAAAAAACATAAAACCTACCCATGAGAGAACCGACCAAAAACAAAACCTAGCTAAAAAAAACATAAAACCTAGCTCAAAAACACAATTTGTCTCCAAATTAAATGCGAAAAGAACACAATACAAGACATCCGACATCTTAACTGGTCTTTGGTCCAGTATCCGACATTATTTTGATGAGAAGTAAAAAGGATTTATTGTTTCCGAGTTGCAAATGTAGCACTATTTTTTCCCAAGAACTTTGTAGTAAGTTTGCTTGTCATTTCAAATCTTGGACCACATGCGATCTTGAACCACTCGGTGTGGAAGGATCGAGGCATGTCGACCCTCTCGTATGTGCCCCAAAGCAATCCCTCTGAGCTTGGACTAAATTGGCAGGAACCCTCTCCCTCCTGTAGGTATTGAAATAAGCCAGACTGGAAGACATACCCAGAGTGCCTATACCAGAGTTGATAGCAAGGCAGCTAACTCGGCGCCAGGCAGCCTATCAGTCCAATATCTCCTTTGTAAACTCTGGGTCAATCAAGAGCTTTGCTAGCTCTGGGTTTCCATCGTAAGCCTTCTTAATGCGATCCATGAAAATTGCACAGATAATTCAGCCTCCCTTCTGTATCTTTGAAAGCTCACCCAACTTAAGTTCCCATCTAATTTCAATGCTCATTGTTCTTATCAGGTTCATGCCTTGTGCATAGCTGCAAATCTTTGAGGCATAAAGAGCTCGCCTCACATCTTCAATCAACTTTGCTTCGTCAATGCCTTGATCGCCCAATATATCACTGTAACCACCAGATTGAAATACTCTGGCAGCCTGAACACCTTCTTTGAGTCCACTGAGAAACCTGGAATCCAAAGATGCTTCAATTGGACAGCCATTGATGATTCAGCTGCCTGTTGGACGGTCCATTTGCCGGAACCTTTCATCCCGGTCTTGTCTAAGACCTTGTCCACTAGATACCCCTCATATTTATCATCTTTTATTCCAAAAATATCTGCAGTAATCTCAATTAAGAAGCTAAGAAGTTTTCCTTTGTTCCATTCAAAGAAAACTTGTCACAACTTATCATTAGATAGCTTACCAACAGATTTCAATACATCATAAGCTTCAGCAATTAGCTACATGTCCCTGTACACAATCCCATTGTGAACCATCTTTATAAAATTGCCTGAACCTGGGCAGCCACTTTGAGAAGGATGTCTTCGATATACTTGTACACTTTGTATGATCCTCCAGGCATCAAAGAAGGTCCATTCCTGGCACCCTCTTTTCCACCAGAGACTCCCATCCCAAGATAAAGAAGACCGAGTTCTGCCATGGCCTTTTAATGCTTCTCTGTGTTTTCATACCACTCATTGCCCCCATCTATTATACAGTCACCCTTCTCCATGTAAGCTGAGTGTAGCTATTGTTTGGTCAACTGGTGAACCAGCTTTCACAAGCATGATGATGACATGGGGCTTCTGAATTGAGTTGACAAATGATGCAGGATCATGAAAACCATAAACTGGAAGGTTCTTTCAAGTTTAGCACGTTCAATGGTCTCATCAACCTTTGAGGTTGTCCAGTTGTACACAGAAATAGGTAAGTCTTTCTCAGCTATGTTCAAGGCTAGGTTTTGCCCCCATGACAGCAAGACCAGCAAGACCGATTCTTGTGGGAGCCATCTTTCACCTGATAGAGATGTTGGAATATCAGAATTGAATTAAATAAGAACAGAGACAGAACTAAACCTAAGATGAATATCAGAATTGAATTAAATAAGAACAGAGACAGAACTAAACCTAATATGAATTTAAGAATTATGCACTATAAAAGTAGCATCATTTACTAGAATGTTTACATAAGCATATATATATAATCTTAACTATCATTTTACAGAAGCATTTATATTAGCTAATCCAAACCAAGCATCATAGCCAAAATGGAGCCAGAACTTCAGGTGAATAGTGGTTTAAATTATCTTTTTGACTACAAGGGAATTCTTTAGCAACTTAACATAAATAGGCAACCTCCACACTACCAAAATACAAGTGAGGAGCTTCTACCTAATAGTACCCAAGAATAAATTTATGCAATATCACAATCATTTTGAAAAGAAACCTCAAACGTATTGCAATTTAAGATTCAGACTTCTATACAAAAGTCAAAATGAGAAAATTTGAGATGAACTGAATAGCGAGATGAATTTCTTCAATGTGAATGATCATATAAAGTCACACAAGCAGTAACATGAATTTTTCATACTACTTCATATAAAAGTTAGATCATCATATTAGCCAATAAGGAAAGAATACAGAAGAAAACACGGTGACACATAGTGGCTGTCTCCTACGGTTGAAACAACAGGAGAAGGGAGAGGATGACAAAGTAGAATCCTACCTTATCACCATCCACCACTGCCACTGCATGTCATGCTGTGCGAGGTGGTTGAGATTTTAACTCTTTGTCTAGGTTTTAGGTTGTCAGATTACTGGATTTTGTAGGGTTGAAGCCAAATTACATTCAGACACATTGCAGAACTACCAAATTTGGAAATGATCCCAACTTTATTTTCAGACATCATGGCATGTAAAAAAACTAAACCTGAAATTTTCAGGTAATAAAAACTCGATCTGATATAGTGCGACTTGTCAGACATATTGGGTTATATGGAATTTACCCGTTCTCTCCCTCGATCGAAATATCCTCTGTTTCGCCTAAGAAATATTGTATTGAGTGAACCATCAATCATTCGGAGCGTGAAGTGCAATTAGATCAATTTATTTATTTTGAGGATCAATTAGGAGAATTTATGGTTGACTTGGAAAAAATAAAAATAAAGAATCCAGGCTCCGTTAATCAGAATGTTTACCATCTGTAATCATATGCAGACAATCTACATGCTTAATCAGCTTTGTTTTTCTCAATCAACCTGGAACTGATCTGGATTAGAGCCCATCATTGGTCAGCAGACCAATCCAAACAGATATAGATAAATCTCTAAATACTAACAGAAGAACCCCTAAACACACCCAAACAAAATCTGAAGTTACAGAGATAAAGCCACATCTCTATCTCCCAGAACAGCACAATTTTTATTGTTTGTCTTAAATTCACCAAAAAAGAAAAATAATAACAACTTTATCATATGTTCTAGTTTCCCCAGAACATGACCACGTTGGCTTCCGAGAACAGCAGCATGAATTTGAACTGTTACAAGCCCACAGGCGCTGCAAAATCACAACTTTATCATCCACAAAATCATATCTTGAACGACAACTCTAGCATCACAAACAAAAATGGGATCTTTCCTCCAACTACACCAAAGAAAAAGATGATGTATGCGTATAAACTTGTCCTATGACAACCATCGACAATGCAGAGACCATAAAAGCGAAATCAGGAGCGCAAACCTGGATGAGATGTTTCACTCCACAGGCAAGGCTCGTTTATTTTTGGTGAGAAGACCCTTTGCATTTCTTCTCTTCTACTTTGGTAGAAGGCGATCGACTATATAGACAAAGCAAAACCCGACTCCTCTCCTTTTCCTTCACCGGTCTTTTGTCTCCATGCGAACACCAATTCCTGGATTCAGATTAATAGATCCAAATTAATGAGAAGGTGCCGCAGGTCGGGTCACCGCCGGTACGTGGCTTCTCGATTTCTTTCATGGGATGCAGTGTGGGTCCTACGTGCCTCGTCCAATCACATCTCTTCTCAGTTCCAAATCGTGTGTTCGGTGGATTGGAGCTACGAATTGATTCGGGCGGTGTCGTCTTCGGATTTGATTGGGCCGTAAGTGAATGGCCCATTCGTTACGTGTCGACGTGTGCTCATATATACTGGGCTTAAAACGGCCCATTAATCGAATGGAGATGGCTTGTCACGTGACACCGTCTCTGTCTGTGCATCCCTCACCTCTCTTCATTGATTTATAGATGAATGATGATGACGATGATATATATATATACATATGACCTCTCCTGCTGCACTGTGGCTTTGGATGGAGAGGAGACGGCCAGTGCATGGATGCTGTCTCTCCACCTCCTCCTCGGTTGCGTGCATTAATGGAACCTAGAAAGAAGCCTGCGAGGAGGAACGGAAAAGATAAAAAGGAGGGTGTCGGTTCCTTTCTCCTGCTTTCAGCCCAGTCTCGTCAAGATCACTAGGCACTCGATCTTGTGGGCTGTGTGGCCACCGGTGCCGTGGACCAGTCGATCTGAAGAAGCCCCACACTACACGAGGAGGACAAAGCAAGTTTTTATGTTGCATTGGACCAGCCAGTTTGCAGTACTACTGTTGAACTGGAGCCACTCCACCACACCTTCAGCATGTGACCGGAGGAAGAGATCTCCATGCAGGCAATGATGCATCCTGCCTCACGCGAGATCGAACTTGCAGATAGAACTTGATGCGGGTGTGAGATTGGCTGTGCCCACAAACTCGTCGTCTACGAATGAATGAACATTCTTGAACAGTGCTGCACTAATGAATGCACAGCTCGTAGTGTCAGTCCTGATGTTATCTGGTAGTTCTTCAATCTTGCAATGCTCCCTCCTTTCAATCAGAAGAAGAAGAAGAAGAAGAAGAAGAATGCAAGAGAAAGGTTTAGGGTTTGTTTGAGGGAGGCATATATGGTCTCAAAGATGTCCTTCTCCTGTAGCTTTTGAAGACTTGGCCGAGCAATAAACTCATGATGGCTTCTCTACTGTAGAAACAAAATAATGTCTTTGACTAAACATTCTTTATTGGGATATCACAGTGAACATATAGTTGCGATGGTACATGTAAGCTGTTTCGCAACAGGACGATCAACAGGAAGATTGATATCTATGTAATTCCCATTCTTTTCTTCATGAAGAATCTCTTCGAGATAATAATCATTGAACAGCTTTTATACTTCAGTTATCTCAGCAATATTGGGGGTGTTTTTGGTTCTTCTGAAGAGGAATCAGAAACCTCGAAGGAGATGGATCACATGAGTGAGCAAGCAAAATACACAGCAAACAGGATCTCCATGCAAAACGAGACAGGAGGAGTAGTACTACTTGAGCCATCATGGCGTCCATCTCTTTTCTCATCCACACACTGTCACTGCAACACTCGCAAAGGATGTCAAAGCCGAGAAACGCGGCTACTGCCGCCCTTTTCCCTCTCGTCCCATCACACATCCAACAGTCCACTTTGCACAAGCTGTCCCTCCATGCCATGTTAACCCAACGAAAGGGAGAGAGAATTCGTTCCTCGAAACATGTCATCAGGAGATAGGACGAGTGGCTAAGCGCCTAAAACCTCCACTTCACGATGAAGAAACAGGTCCCAGTGGATTTATGGATCCGACCCTACGCCCCTATCTCTGTCTCTCTCATGCACAGCCACCCCACCCCCACACTGACAGATGTGTCTCCATTCTTCTTCTTCTTCTTCTTCGTCTCCTCCTCCTCCTCCTCTTCTTGATCCCTTAGTTGCATATGAAGATATGTCTTCCATTAAAAAGTCAGCGTCTCCATTGTATCGAATGTACTGCCTTCACTTTTTCTCTCTCTATATATCTATCTCAAACGCACTCATTTGTCCTCTTAGAAACAGTGCCGTCTTTGCAAGCAAGCAAGATATTAATCTTCCTGCCTTCACTTCTTCTCTCTATATATATATCTATCTCAAACCCACTCATTTGTCCTCTTAGCAGCTGTGCTGTCTTTGCAAGCAAGCAAGGTATTAATCTTCCTGCCTTCACTTCCTTCTCTATATATATCTGTCTCAAACGCACTCATTTGTCCTCTTAGAAACAGTACTGTCTTTGCAGTATTAATCTTCCTTGTTTCACCCTTGCTTTGAGAGGAGGATAAGTAGGGTTTGGCGGTCTGTGAGTGAGGCTGCTGCTTTGGATTAAAGAAGCACTTTGTAGGGTTGGGTTGCTGGAGACATGCGTGACTATATCTGGCAAAGGATGGAGAATGACCAAGGAGAGCTTGCCGACGTAGTCCGCGCCGGTGGGTGGGTCGGAGCTTCGAGTACTGCCTTCCCGGCCAGCGACTGGCAGCTCCCTTCAGAGCCCGTGGTCTTCCCACCCGCATCGATCAAGGACTCGAGTAGCGACTTGGGCGATCCTTTCATGAAACTTTGCGACCCCCTCATCGACGAATTATCCGGCATCGAGTTCTTCAAGAGCAGAGAAACAATGGCAGGGCAGGTCAACATGGTCATCAAGGAGAGCGACTGCGGTGATGGTGGTGGATTCATATCTCAGAAGTTGCTAATGGGTGGGGGGATTAAGAAGCCTTTTGATATCACCTCGCCAGAAGCAGACAAGTCTTCTCCTCTCTCTCCGGTAATGGCTGGGGAGATGATGAAGGTAAGTAGCGGTGCAGTAGGATGCTTGGGAGACGATGGTGGTGGAGGACAACAGATCTCATCCTCGCTCGAGCAAGGTGTCAAACGGAGGTTCGACGACTGTAGACCACTTTCTTTTACTTGGAAAGCTTTATTGGTCAACCAGATAGAAAGTTAGGCTATGTTCTTCTTGTTTCTGAGGAAAACCAGCCTTCATCAGGCAATCATCTTCAATGCCTTTTTCTGAACTCAAGTTCCTAAAAGATTTTGTCGTGCTTAATCCTAGTAAAATCTGCTTTCAGAAGATTCAAACATGGTCTAGAAATCATGTGATGTTGATTGCCTTTTCTTGTTAGCCAATGCTGAACATGTTCATCTAAAAATATGCTGAAATAGGACTTGACAGAACCCATAATATTTTAGGTCATCAAGGTGGAGTTTGGTTGTCTCTTTTCTGGTACAAGACATATAGATGGGTGCAGAACCTTACAATCTGGAAAGAACTCATACTACCTCAAGATTTATGATTGCTGATCACCAAATTTGCGTCTAATCCTTTTTGAATTGATAGCTAAAAGTAGGTTTCAATCTCTTCCTATATTATTTATTATATATGTCGCCAAAAACAACCAAAAGGGTGACTTCAAGAGCGGAATATAATTAAGCAAACCAAACAAAATTTAGGGTCTTTCTTGCTTGTAATCTTTTTCCCGGTATGATATGGAATTGTTGCCATTAGAATGAACAGACTTCTTCTGTATCCAGGAAGAACGAAGCGAAGAAGGTAGTATGTATTCCAGCTCCTGCAGCAGCATGTGGTAGGCCTGGTGGAGAGGCTGTGCCTTGTGATCTATGGGCTTGGAGAAAGTATGGCCAAAAACCAATCAAGGGATCTCCTCATCCTAGGTAAGTTCTCTTGTGATCGATTTCGCGAAATCGTAGATGAATTCCTCCTCTGCAAGGAATCATTCCATATGGTCTTGCTTGGTTAAAGATGTTCATCACATAATAGAAGCCAATGTGCCTCCTAAATAAAAGGTATCAGATCAAATAAAGCTCAGTGTCTTGAAGCTCCAAAAACTCATACCCTTGTCGTTGTACAAACATGCATCAAGCACAGCATATGTCAGCTAATCTGCCTTCTCAATTTGATCTACTTCATGTAGAGGTGATTTAACTCGGGTTGATCTTTTTAGCTGCTGATTAGATTCTATCACCTCAGGGGCTATTACAGATGTAGCAGTTCCAAAGGATGCTCGGCGAGGAAACAGGTAGAGCGTAGCCGAACCGATCCCGACATGTTGGTAATCACATACACATATGAACACAACCACCCATGGCCTACGCAGCGTAATGCGCTTGCTGGCTTCGCAAGATCTCAGACATCAAAGAACTGCTCTACTCGCAATCTAAAGGAAGAGCCTAAGGATACAACAAGATGCAGTGCTGCTTCAGTGAAACAAGAGGTTAAAGAGGTAGTCGACAAGGTCAATGATCAAGCATTCTATAGAAGCCGCGAGCCCCTCATCTCGGAACAATACCACCCTGACAACTTCTTCACAGATATGTCGGTGTTGGAGGCCGACACAGTGAATCTCATCTTCTCAAAGGAGCTTACCGAAACAAAGCCAGAGGAGAATGGAGACAAGGCCTTGGATCCATTCAACATGTTCTATTAGGCATGCAGGAAGATCGATGATACATTGGCACAACATATACATTAGCTAGTAGGCAAGCTAGAGATCGTGCTTTTAGGTTACATGTCGAAGTTTGAATCAAGATGGGGGTGGGGGAGGAGCGAAGGGTGTGCTCGTGATATGTTGTCTGTGGATGAGTTGGGAGAAGGGCCTGGAAGATCCACGGCATTTGGAATAATGGAGGACAGTACGTACAATGACTGCAAAAGCCTTTGCAGGGCAGTTAAGAGGTGTAGGCTGAGCTTTTCTTTTGCTACTGTTTCCTCCTTGTTTCAATGTGCCGAAGAAGGAGTGCTTGGCAGTGTGGTCAGAGTTTTAGTAAGATTCATGGACAAAGGAAGCAACAAAGATTAGTAGGAGGAGCTCAAACATACATACAATTGTCATTTGGAGAATGATGAGCAGGCATTAGGTCTTGGAAGGAACAAGTCAGTATCATTCATTCTCTCTTTTGCTCCTTAGCTTTCTTTCTTCACCTGTACATAGCTTGCAACTTCTCAATGCTGAAGTCATATTACTTCCAAGGTCAAGAAGGCATTCAGATTGTTCCTGAAGATGTTTCCAAACCATAGTTCAAAGCCTCAATGTGCTTTTTCTTTTCTGTTTTTTACTTTGTGTGTGTATGACAGTGTGTGTGTGTGTGTATATGTGAGAGAGAGAGAGAGAGAGAGAGAGAGAGAGATTACATCCACATTGTTAATGTGTGCATGTTTGATAAAGATCAAGATCGAGTTGTTGGAATGTAATGATCGATGTAAGTATGAGATTGCATTCACAGAGTTTTAGTGTATGGTTACACAGGCAAAAGAAGCTAGTGAGTGAATTGGAAATCCTAGTGATTTCATTATCCACATTCTTGGGTAAGAGAAACTCATTTATCCAGTTCCAGAAGCACTAGGGAATTATATTCCAGTGTCTACTGACCTCTTTTTACTTGCTGAATCTTCATAGTTCCTTTGGTGCTTGATCTAAACTGGAACTTACAAGCTAGAAATTCTAACTTAGTATATGATGTAGCACTAACCAGCTTCAGTCTGCTATATGTCATTGCAAGTAAAATTTAGGTTTTAGAGAATGAACTGTAGAACATTAGACCAATAGACAGGAATCCATTAGACAATTAGCAATTCCTAGGGCTTGTTATTACCAAGAACAAAGCCATCTATAAGACAAAGCATGGCCTTTAATCTGACTTAAAGAGTAGTGGTACTTATCATAGGGAATGGATTTACACTCTTTTTCCCCACCAAAAACAATAGTTGATGCAGATGATACTTTTATGTAGTTTGAAACTCTAGTGATCTTATGTAATCATGCTTTGATTTGTGATTCCAAATTTGCAGCTGGTTTTGTTATATCTGTGATCTTGATGTCTCCAAAGTCCTGCAGGGAAATGACACTTGCTGAGGTGCAATGTTATTAGATTAAAATGTATGAGAATACTTGCTTTGGTGACATCCAGGTATAAGTCAAACCAGTTAAGATTAACATGTAAGAGATTGGACACCAATGCAACTCAAAAACATAAACTTTTGAATGTTAGTAATATGATTTTTTTTTTTTTGTGTTCTTTCGATCTTCATCTTAAAAGTATATATTTTTCTTAACAAACAATATCAGAGTGTTCTCATAAGAGTCTTTATTTTACACAAGTAATCCTATCGGCTAGAAATATGTAATTTTCAAAATCTTTCTATATGTATGTGTATATATATATATATAGCTGACATATCAGAGAGATGAGGTCGCATATTATAACGATCGATGCTTACTATACGATGTGGAGGACACATCAGATATCCAGGTGGTTGGTGAGGTAGCAGCCTCTTGCCACTTGGATCTGATCGATTGATGAGGCGATTTATGAGTGTTGGGTGGCAATGATTTCAACCAAATCTCATGCCCTCCATCATTTATAGTATTTTTAATTAGGCTTTATAATATTATTACTATGGTGGTCAAAACATTATAATACGACTCCAAATTACAATAAAAATATTATTTTAACCACTATAAGAGGGACAAAAATAATATCATCCAAAGAGGAATAAAAAAATTAATTTGTTATAATGGTTTAGCCACTACAATAAAAATAATATAAAACTTATTTGAAAATATTGTAAATGATTCAAATGGACTCCTAACATGATATCACTTAGGGAGGCATAATATGATATTGCAATGACAACTAGGGAGCATAATATGATATCACTTATACTATTTTTTAATAGCTTTACATTATTATCAGCACCTCAATAAAAAATTATAAATAGTATTAAAAATACTATAAATGATTCATACAAAAACATTATAATGATTCAAAATTGGTAAAAAAATACCATTGAGGTTGATGAGGAATATTTTTAATATTATTAAAATTAAAAGCACGATGTCTTTTGAAAAAAAAACATACATAAAGAAAAGGAAGATGAAATCACGCATGAATATTTTCACAGATGGCATCTAAGAGCTTAGTGATGTTCTATAAAACTAGAGAAGGTACCGATGATCTTATTGATTATAACAAATCTTAAGGCACAATGGCACAAAGGGGTGAACACAAAAAGGTTCCGATGGATCCAATATCCAGTGATAGCTCATAGCACGAAGGGTAAACACAAGGGTGTGATGGACCCAATTCGCTCTTAAGGATCCTCAAAGGTAGTACTTTTGGTGGCGGGAGATACGCCGTGCATAAGCTCAGATTGGCAGAGAGGTCAACAGCTCCAACTCGAGGCCTTGTAGTTTGGTCCCAATGCTCTTCAAATAGTTGACGCCGTAAATGGTTTGCAGAAGAGTCGTTGGGGTTCTCAAAGCTACTGATATTATTTCCGATAAGTCAACTTTTGTCGTGTGCTTAAGATGTCATCGCAATGTTCGATTTGAAACTACTGATGGTTAAGTCAAACTGATAGTAAAAGAACTAATGATTTCAGAAAAAAATGAAAGGATGATTTCCTGAATTTTTTTTTCTTTTTTATTGTTTCCCATGAGTATCTCTATTTTCATTTTTTCAGATAATATATTTTTTTTATCATCTCATAAATATTATTATATGTTCCTGTCGTCATCTATGTGCGATGCCACTCATTTTTCTCCTTCTATCATCATTGTTGCCTCCACCCCTTACTTTCACTATGAGTTTCATTGCTCGCCCCTCGTTCCTTCCTCCCTCATTCTCCTTCTCTCACTCTTTCTTCTCTTCGTGTTGTTGCTTTGTCTTTATCATCCTCTGAAGCTAGGAGTCATCTTCAACATCATCAATAGCAATAAGTTATCGATCATGCGAGTAGATAGTGGGTGAGAAGGAAAGGAAGATGTCTTAACCTTGTCGTCCGTCCGAAGAGGAAAAGAAAATGATAATAAAATAAAAAATAAAGATAGAGAAGAAAATGAGAAAGAGAAAGAGGAGAGAGAGGTGAAAAGAGATTATGAAGATAACGAACGAACGATAGGAACTCATGTTAGAACAAAGACGATGGAGGTAACAAATGAAAAAGAAAAGACAGCAAAACTATGGGACGAAGGTAACAATGTGAAAGTATAAGGATATCTATAAAAATTATAAAAAAGGATTATTATCTGAAGAAAAAGATGTGAGAAAATAAAAATCGAAGGTAAATCGTCCCAAAAAGTAGAAAAGAATTACGTTAACGGCAAAGCACGCCTCACTTTGTGTCTCATCAGTGAGGTACTGACTGTACGGGCGTGGCAGCTAAAGGGACGCAAGTAGTGTAACAAATCTAAGCTGGCTAAGGAAACGTCTTTTCAACGACTCGATTACCCAACCAAAGTAGATTTCGATTCTCCCGACGTACTGCAATCTCCGCATGCCTTCTTTACGTGCAACCAAACAAAAAAGGTTGCATTACCATCATCGTCACTGTTCTCGTCATCAACGCCATGCCTTCCCCCCCCTCCACACCCTAACAATGTGGGGGCAAGCTTCCACTACTTAATTCCTCAAGTTCAGCTGTGTTTGTTCTCCTCATCATCTTATTCAATTAGATCCACTCTATGATTTAAAGACAAATCTTGATATGAACAATCGCAAAAATACAACTTGACTATGCGTATCAAAATTCATCCTACCATTCCAAATCCATCCATCAAATAAACTTCAAGGGGAGTGGAGGTTGATAGAGATGATTGATGATGGAAGCCTTAATCAAGCAAGACCTCTCTCGTTGCCGTCAAGTCGATACCCAATGCAAGTAGAAATCCCAAGGTCAAACGTATGGACAACAAACTTTGCAGTGGTCATGGATTCAGTTACCAAACCAACAAAAAGCTTCACAAATACACAAGGTTGGATCGATTGGACTCTAAGCTCATAAACGCTTGTTCTTCCAATTCTGCCAATAACAAATTTGGTTCTCTTAATATGATTTGCCAGCATTTAGAACTCAAGACCGTTCTCCCGTGCAGCATTAGCAAGAGCTTCTATGCGTCCATGGTAAGGATAACCACCACGGTCAAAGGCGACCCTTGTGATGCCCTTTTCCAAGCAAGACTTGGCAATGACTTCACCCACTTTTTTTGCCACATCCTGATAGCAAAGTATAGAAGACAAGAATTAGTTCTTAAAGACATGGATTTCATAATATTTATCATCTACGAAAGAAATATTTATAAGCAAGACTGTACAATATACAAAATACAAAATGGCTACTACCAAGAAAAGAGAGAAATTTTTTTTGAAATATCAAGGACTACTGACAACAACTTAGGGATTTCGAATGCTTACAACTGTTGGACCAGAAGAACAATCAAACTCCTCCGACACTGGTTTCTGCATTGTAGATGCTGAAGCTAGCGTATGCATCTTGGTATCGTCAATCACTTGGACATACAGATGTTTGTTGGAACGGAAAACACTCATTCTTGGTCTCTCTGGGGTACCTGTAACCTGACAAAAGGAAATGATTTGGATTAAAAGTACAAGTTTGCAAGGAAAGTTCATGAAGTGAAATATGAAAAAAAATGCAGGAAAGGAGGAAAACGAAGCAATGCCAATTCGTCCTAAGAGATAAGATTTAAGAAGCATCCAATAAGTATCTACCTAGGAAGTGCTTATTAATACATGAAACTTTTGAAGTCAACTAAAGAATACATCATCATGTGACAGAGAAAATAAAAATCTTCAGAACATGCACAATGTATAGTAATAAGATAATTTAAGTTATAATTATGTTTCTTATAGTTATGAATAATGTCACATGAATTAGTGACATGCATATATAAGCCTTCCTAGAGCAAGTGATGAAGTCCTCCGTGTTTGCTGTAAATGAGGTTAGTTGCCTTGTGAACTTAAACTCAAATACTCATGCAATTTAAAGGCCCAATTTGGTGACACAATGTGGATGAGATGTGATTATAGAAGCTGCAATGTAACAAGAGCATGCTTCGAAGAAATATGCGTCTCATGATAGGAGTCCACATCAATTGTGACAGATAAATCAGCCACATCTGTGTACACATGACAGAGGAAGCACAATAGCATGACAAATGAATGGGGCTTCCTGAATAAATAGGGAAGTCAGGCCCTTGCAGTCTTGCTTTGTGAATTAGCCACTACAGTTGATCCTAAAGTTCCAAGAGCCAGCGAAGGAAGGAGTTACGAAAAGATGTAAGTGCAAAATCATTTATCACCAATACTTGTTGGGTGATAATAATATTTGACAATAAAGATGAATGGTAGGAGGCACCAAAGGTTTATAGGATTTGAAGCCTAAGATAACCAGATTTGTATGAAAGAGATGTTTGTTGAACTCCAAATCTATGTTACTATGATAAATGACCATTATGCAACTTTGAGTGGTAGCATGTTGGTGGCATATCTTGGGGCAGAGTGGCAATTCTCTTCTATCATATCACCTGTGCAACCATCCAATTGAAAACTTGAAAAAACTGTTGTCCAAATGAGACAGTATGTTTAATAATCCAAAGGGGAGGAAACAAACAGAAGCAAGTGTCATGGAGCATAGAATCAGACTATTAGTTAATTAAAAATAAACCACACGACCTCTCTCACAATTGAGAAAGGAAATGATGAGTTTTTTAATACATCAAAGCTAACTAATATGGAGGCAACGTTTGCTTTTTACCATGCTTGACCACAGCATACATCTGTGATAAGTTAAAAGAATAAAGATGGAAAAGTATATAAATGCATACTAGGATTTATCTTCAGCAAGTAGAATTGTGCCTATGTATAAGGCCATAAGCTAATAGTATATATTAGCTAAGATATTGCATCAATTCTGACATTTGTTATTTCAAAAATTTTGTGTCAGAGGATATGGTTTCTGTTCATGCAAATTGTTTGTTCAAAGACCCTATGTTTTTTTTATAAAATTCACCAGTAAAAACTCTGGGAATTATAATAAGTTCATTACTAAAATATGAAGTCAGATCCTGCATCTAGGGTTTAATATATGCTGGCAAAATTGTCACATTCATTATGCTATATATGTACCATTATTTACACGTCACACTGAGCAAATGTTTATGCTTCATTACAGTTGAAGTGTGGTGAAGTTTGGTCTACAATATCTAATTCCTGCAAAAGTAAGTGGCTGACAAGGAACATTAAAATAGTTAAGCAATAATATCACACACACAAAAAAAGAAAGGCATAGGGTTCGAACCCTCAACTTGAACTACTGTTTTAAAGTAATATTTCTTTCAAAGTATTGTTTTATGTAGCCTGTTGATCTTTGAAAAGAAGCATAAAAAATAGGGTTTAAGCCTTCAACTTGAACTACTGTTGTAAAGTAATATGCTTTCAAAGTATTGTTTTATGTAGCCTTTTGATCTTCGTAAAGGAGCACAAAAAAGATAGGATTTAAGCCTTCAACTTGAACTATTACCTTTTTCTTAAATCCTTGGAGAAGTATGTCATTAAAATGCAACTTCTTTCCAAAGAGAAGTGCATAATATACTTGTTTAAATCATTTGCCAACAATTTTAACTAGACATTCAAACACGATGTCAAGGAATTCTGTTTGCTGTATCATTCTATTATGGTATCTTGCTTTTTCATGATCTGCCAAACGACCTATACATTTGTTGTTCGGTATTGCTTGTAGGTATCTGTTCTTACAGTTTGTCGATAGTATCGAGTGATCCACACAGCGCACAAGTGCATCCATACCCACACACACACAAAGGCAAACGCAACTGCTCATAGGAACAGAGCAGAATGAACTCCCAGTAACCATGGAACTTATGGACCGCACAGTGTGCTATCGAACCACCCGTGCAGCTTGTTAATGAGTAGCAAGTAGTCGCTGTTTTAACGTTTGCCAATTCTCTATCAGCCATTTTATCAAACACCCTATTGTCTACATTTTTCTCGAGCATTAATCTTGCACGGGCGTTCAAATGATCGCCTCTCGTGTCTTTAGTGTAAACCATAGCCCGTCAGACAATGGGGAAACAAATGCACTTACTTTTCTGATTTAGTGAGAGACGAAGAGGAATATGTTCCATTATCCCTTCTGGAGAGAATTAAGAGAAAGAGGAAGGGATGGAGGAATGGGTTACCTTCTTCCGAAGTCTCTCGTGGCGGAAGGTACGGTTCTCTCTTCGGGTGACGACCTTGGCCTCGATGAAAGAAGGCCGTCGTGTTGTGGTCGGGCAGGCCATGGCCGAGGAGGGCATCATATTCATTTTGAAGCAGAGCCGCTGACCGCTAACGAAGGAGCTGCTTCCCACCATTGCTGGAGACACGCGAGCAGTAGCTGCCATTGTGGACGGAGCAGAAGCGACCAGCGAAGAAGAAGAATGAGACATCCTCCTCTCCTCTCCCTCTCTCTCTCTCGCTCTCGCTCTCTCTTGTAATGTCACTCGCGAGGACGAAACCCGACCTTATCTCCTCATCCATCCACCTCTTCCCGATTCTTCCATTTATGCCCCTCAAAGTGTAACGGAATTTAACGGTAACGGCATTCCGGCTCCTTTCCGTCAGTTTAGAGTAATTTTTTTTCCCTCCCGCGCTTCGTCGTCGTCTACCTATATATACTCGCCCAAAATGAAAGATGAGAGAGCGGAAAGGGATTGCGATCTCCAGTCTCTGATCTGTGTAAGCTCTCTACCACCAACTTCTCAGGTTTGCTTTTCTTCTTCTCTCTCGCGTAGATAATTCATCGATATCCGATTCCGTCACAAACAGAGATGATTGTTTCGTTGGATGTTCGGCTTCGAATGGATCGATCAGTTTGTGATCGATGTCGAAGACTTTTGATTCCGGTGTTCTGTTTCTTTGATCCAATTTCGCAATCGTTCCATATGTTTTTGGAATTGGAACCTGAAACGGATCCCCTTTGGGGTTGGATCTGGGAAGGAACTAATCGATCCCAAGTTCGGTAGATAATTCCCTAACGTCTTTGGTTACTGCTATAATATCCATTGCAGCGATCATCGATCTTGAACATATCACGAAGCGATCGAAACCCAGATCAAGGAGCGCATCAAGACAATGGTAATTTGCTCTTTTCCAGATTGAAGCATGCATATGGCTGTATTGATCGTCTCGGAAAGCACAGGAGGGGGGCGACGGCAGAACGGGCGGCGGAGATGAGATGGCGACGGAGATGGGATCGGGGGAAATGGAGCACGACGTCCAACGCATCCTCGAAAAGATCGATCAGTTCACTCAACAGGTTTCAATCCCCTGAGCTTGCTGTGTAATGTATCCCCTTGGTAAATGACTCAAACAGGGGATCTCTCTGTGAAGGTGTGGGAGCTGCTGGACGCAGGGAGGACGCTGTTCAAAACCCTGTCATCGGAATTCGAAGAACGCTTGATCTCGTGAGTAGTAGCGATCGGTGTTCTTAGTTGGGAAGCAAGATAATGAAACGGAAGTTGAGATGGACGTCGACTCACATGTTTGCGTCACAGAATCCACAAGGAGCAGATGGCGAAGTGGCAGGAGGAGATCAAGGAGATGCAGTTGCGTGACACATGCAACGAAACAGCTCGAGCTCTCCTTGAGAACGCCCAGCACTTGCTTCGCAGTGCTCCTCAGGCCTCTCCTACACAGCAGCCTCTGCAGGATTTCTCAGGTGAAATGTAAGTGGCGAAGGTGAAATCTGTGCTTTTGTTTTACTCCTATGTACTGCCTAATTCACGATAACACGACAATTGTTGCACCCATGCAACTAGCAATTCATAGCTGTGTCAACTCCCATCGCATCCTTCTACATGAAATATAGGAAGCAATGCCCTTTGTGTTGAAGCAACATTTTGCTCATAGTGCTTTCACTGCCTGGACAGGCATTGATGACCCTTTTTGCAAGATCTTAATTCATATATGGTTTATATGATAAACTTAAATGCATGAAACTTCCATCAATATGATTTGGGGACATGGAGATTATGAATATGCACAATATTTATCTTTAAAATTAGAAAAAAAAATTCTTCATGACATAAAGGCAAATTTATCATTGTGACAATTCATATTTGATTCAAAAGAAACACAAGGAATAAGTCATAAGACAACAAATGGGCATAATGAGAATGATTCAAATATTAATGACTATTAAAATCCACCCACCAAACAAAACATATATTCATTACAACTAGTTCTTTCCTCACAGGCTTTAGAAGTTATATTTGGGTAAGCCAACAGCAAAAGATTAGATTCCTTATTGCTTTCAGAAATTTTGGAATGTAAGATAAATACCAAATCCCATGAATTTCGAACCAGAGACAGATTTTATGTACTCTGGTATCTCACATCTATGAAACAGCTTTCGAAACCAATCTAAATGGGAACAACAGTCTTTAAATATATATAGAGAGCAAAATCAATTGCAGGAACTTGGGCTTTAGTCTAACAGGAAGTCACCACCCAGCATCAAGTTCCTCGAAACTGGTCTCATACGTTTCCAGGTATCTGATCTGTTCTCGCACCTTGAATATTGTAGTGGAGTGTTCATGCCATGCAGAAAGAATCATCTAAAGCTTTGTCCATTGTATGATCTAGCTATGTTTAGGGGGCACCAGATTCAGGCTACGCATCCACTCACAAAAGCTATAATCATCGAAGTGAAGGAAACTGCTCTTTAGCCTTGCCCTTTGCTCTGGAGTTAATGAGCGCAACTGCAGGAATCTTGCCTCCTGTTTCAGAAAAGGATTCAATTTGTTGTTAGAAAAACCACCATAAACTAATTGTGATAAGAAAACATGTCACTCCAACGATGGAGCCTCCCTAAAAAAGTTAACTCGTACCTGCTCATATGGGGGGTCCTTGTGAGCTGGTATTAAACGAGAAACAAAATACCGAGCCTGAGAGCTCCCCTCCTGTGTCAACAACATCAAAGCATCTCAGAAAATATACAAAACCATTTTTAGAGAGTAATGGATATGAAACAAGAACCAAAATTTAGTTCATCAAATCATTTGAATAAAAAAAGGGTTATTGCTTCTGATCGTGTATAAAAAATCAGATTATTTTCAGTGAAATGACAATAAAATAGACCATTGGATCAAGATAGAAAACCTTGATAAATGAAAAACGAGAGAAGACCACAACCATTTCAGTAGGTAAAAGGATTTCATAGAAGTAATGACGCTAAAAGGATAAATTGTAGAGAAAAACAGACTTTGAATGCAAGGATCCGAGGAGCTGGAAAACGGTTCTCAGTCAGCTCCTCTGCCAATGTTCTGCATGCTGCTAATGCTGCTGCACTTTTTCCTTCTTGAGCTGCAAGCTCAGCACCCTAAAAAAAAATTATGTCAGTCAATTATAAAGGATGAATGTAATATGATCTTGAAAGCAATCACCAAGCGATTTTTGAAACAATACGTAGCATATGACATGAATTCTGTCAGATACTAGCATCAAAAGTCTACTTGGTACTAACAAAAAAATGGAAGAGAACAAGAAACAGATAAAGGTAGTATATAACATGAATTCTATCAGATGCATGCATGAAAAGTGTACTAGTACTAACAAAAAAAAAGGAAGAGAAAAAGAAACAGACAAACTAAAATGCTTAGAGATGTTGACATTTACTTATGACCAAGAGTTCAAATCTTGGTCAAATACTGACATTGGCCGACTGCAGGACTGTTATGGTACTGGTAGTCTGGTACCAAATAATGTACCAAGTATCTGTACAGATCGGTACCAACCAGACCAAGCAAAGAGAGAGAGGAAGAGGAGATAGAGCAAGAGGAGGAGATGAACAAGGAGCCATAGGATGTGGCACATGAGAGATGGCAATGCGGGAAAGCAAATAAAGAATGGAGGAGCAGTGAAGGAAAAGATGATCAGAATGTCGGGTGACTATAACAGGCATCATACACATAAACAGATTAAGATGTGTTAAAGAAAAACTTCAGTCACTAGAAACTGAGAATAAGATTCAACACACAAAGAAAGCCCCAATATTTCGCTTTGATTGTAGCTGTTCAGATATTATGCCATATTAATAAACCGGTCAACACAACATAATCATGTTGCTCCAATGATGCATATAAAGTATGTCACTTGCAAATGTACATATACATGATATCAGCTACAGCACAGTTAGCAACAGAAAACTACAGAAGGCAGAGCAAGACAGCAAAATGTAATCAGGTTTTGTTAAGCTGGTCATTAGGAACACCTTAGAGCAGCATGAACCAGCTACTATGATAAACACATTAAGGAAGTCTATGAAGGATCTTGTGAATAGAAAAAGAAGTCAGTTTGCTGACTTATGTTGATGGAATACCCCAAAAATTAATGATGCCAATCATCATCTGTGCATCATTAGGTTACCAATTGATATGAACAGCTAATGTGACTCAAAAAATGGATCAAAAGGCTCAATTGTAGAATGAAGCAACAGAACTTAAACAGAATATTCTGAGACCTAGATATCAGTTTTAAGCTGAGCTTGAAAATCATTTGGCTCAAATAATATGCATATACATGTATTATGCATAGACGAGGAGTGATGACATGGATGAGGAGGGTAATAAGGAGGAAGAGGCGGAGAGAAAGGGTGGAAATGAAGAGGAGACAATTTGGAAAGTAAAAATATTCAAATGTGGGCAGGTACCAACGAAGGAGAGAGAGAGGCAATAGGTAGAAGGAGAGAGAGGCCATCGGTAGAAAGAGAGATATGTATGCTTTAAATAAAATAAATCTGTCAGTATCAGTGCCGGTCCGTAGAATTACTGCCTGGTAAATCTTGGTACCGATAGTCCAGTAAGTCTGAAACGATAAACTTATTAAGCAATAGGCATTGTTTCAGATCCGACCGAGCAAATACTAATCAGCTAGTAACTGACATAGATTGATTCGGACCAACTGGTATGGTCAAATTTTAAATTCATGTATATATGCATACACACTATCATATATGAACCAGGCCATGTATACAGTCCAAATCTACACTATTTTTTCACCTATTGGCTTAAATACAAACATGAACCAGGGTTCATAAAATAAGGATCAGCTTGGAGATAAGCTGGATCAGATAAGAAAAACTTTTTCTCTCTTAATAATAATGAGACCATGAAAAATTGACCAGGATCAGCTCAATAAAATTGACAAAATTCCAACGGCTAAGACCATTGCTGGAATACCCAAGCATTTCTGACCAATCTCAGCTGATCATGCAGATATTGATGTACATTCAGTGATGAGATAAGCTCAACCTGTAACAGTTGACTTAGATTTCAACATAACCAATGTTCATCAAGCTGAATGACGTAGGTACATGTTTAGCTTGGCCTGTAAGAGGGCTAAAGTAAGCTAAAATTAGTCTGAAGTCTTAAGGTAATAGTCATGTCTAAGACCAAGTAAACTTCGTTATCTTCTAGCACAAGCATCGGGTCTCAAACATCCAGAAAATTCAAGATGTGAAATCCTAATAAAAGTGCCACAATAGGAATTATAGTAGACTGATATTTATCAAAAAAAAAACTCCAGTTAATCCATATTCTGACTTTGACACTATCCTTTGGACATCTTATAAAACTCAAATATTTACATCTGCCCATTTCTATGTCATATTTAACTTTTCATGGTCATTAACTTAAGCCAAAATCATGATCACTAATTTAAATAATGTCTCTTATTTTTGCATTCAGATCATTATTTAAACAACAAGCATCTTTCCAAGGAGGTATTTAAGTCTATTATCATGAATTAGCTTCTCTAGCAGACGTGGTATTGAAGGTAACTTACCAACCATATGAACAAGTCTGTTCCATGGTCAAGGACCACTGCTGCATTAGACTGCATGGCAAGGTCATAAGCTGGTAGCTCCTCAAAAGTACCTCCTTCACGATGCATTAGGCAACGAGGAGCCAACATGCGAAGAGACAAATCAAACGACGCATTCAAGAACAAATTTCTTAAGACAGACCTTTCATCCTCATGACCAATAATATTTCCTAAAAGTGGTCCCCTTCTAAGATGAAATAAGCTCTCAGGCAGAGTTGATAACTCATTAGGAAACCGAAAAAGCTTAGATTTTGGTAGCTGAGAACCAAACTTTAGAGCAATATCCTTAACTCTCTCATCTACTGTGAGTCTCATATCAATAGCATCAGAAAAATTTTTGGCATGCAAGACAGTCCTCTTAGCAATAAGAACTGCAGCAACATCTTCTTGGATGCTCCGGAGATACAAGGACACGCTATCAACAGTAGGTAACCTCACGGTAATCACTCTCGAGATGTCTGCTTGATAAATGTTTGAATAACAAACTGCAAATTGGAAATAAACATAGTCATTCTTTATATCACCCTTTGTTTCCATGGACAGGGAAAAGCTCTGTGTTTCTTCAATGCTATGCATCTGAATGCAAAAAGAAGAGTCATTCTTGAACGTTTCATGAGAATCAGCTGTTGCTTCTTCTCCTGGCCCAATGACTTGTGTCACAAGAATGTCATCCGAGCAGTGTATTTCAAACAATCCATGGGAACCAGCTGCCCTGGTAGATGCTCTTTGCAAGTTAACACCAAATGCCTCCCCAAAGTCATCATGAAGTATCAGCACACCACCAGAGCTTTTTGCTAGAGGCTGCAGAATGGGAACTCTCACTGGACATGTACCAGCACAAAGAATATCCACTGTAGTTTCATGCTGTAGTGCATTCTGACCAAGATGTTCCATCCACTTCATAGCTGTCTTCTCCATGTATGCATAATTCGGATGAACAAACGAGTGTGGAACTGATCCAGGTCCATAAGTATTAGGACCACCAGCACATACCATGATTCTGCAATTTCCTCCTGATCTTTTGATAACTCCACGTGACACTTCAGCTGATGGTCCTCGAATTATAGCTACAGCAACCTCCACTGCTGTACCAAGGCAACGATCTCGAGATGCTTCTGGCATCTTGAGTTTGTACGGCATTAGAGATGAAAATATAATGTGCATTACAGGAAGCGAAGCATGTATGGGTGACAAATAAACACCAGTTCCATATATTAGAGCTTTCAAAGACTCTTGGGTGGGTGATTTGTCACCTGGTAGGACATCAGCTGATGCCACTGAGCCCTCTGAAAAATCAAACACTGACACTGTTCGTCCATATGTGATGATACCAAGCCTCGTAGCAGGGGGAAGAGAGTCCACAAAAGCATGCAAAGAACCTTGCAGGTGCTGGAGATGTGCTTCATCCAAACATTCATCAATGAGAAGAAATATAGGTGCAGTCACTCTTGAGTCAGATACTGAAACAAAACCTAGCTGACTATTCCCAGTCTGAACATAGTCAATAGCTGAGGAAGAAAGTTCAGGCCAATGTCGAAGATCTTCCTTGCTAGGAGCTATGTATTCCCCATCACTGCTATTCAAATTCTTACATATTACACATTGCCACTGTCCTGATCCAACCAAAATTTCACAGTAAAGATTCGCATAAGCCCCGCAATTTCGGCAACGATGAGGTTCACGATGTACAACCTCAGGACCAGGTGTAATTTCCCTCCCAGGGGAGACCAAAGCTCCGAATCCCAAGCTTGGTACATTTGCTAGTTTTTTACGTTTCAACACCTATGAAGACAAAAAATGCTTGTAAAATGAGAAGAAGACACTTATCGTCAGCAATAGTTATGAAGGGCCTTATGAGCTAATGAAAGAAAAACATTTGTTAAAGTTAATTTTGAAAAGCCTAATAATGAGCAAACAGATACACATTCCAACAGCAGTAAGTTTCTGAAAAAAAATGTATAGTACTAAGCTTAAAGTGGAGATAATAAACACAAAATTAGCAGACAACTAAAATCAATTTGCCAAGCAAAAGAACTGTTGTTTAGTAGTATCACAAATAGTACCTTGTGAGCAGAAAAAAACACATAAGGACACTCAAAAGTGAACTCATCAGCGGAATGATGCAATGGCAACTCATGGGATCCATTGGAGTAATGGGATGAAGAGGATGTGGGCAACGATGAACCCGTTGAGAAAGATACAGGCTGTGGAGTTGCAGGTGATGTTCGGAATGGTACAGCTGCTGGCCGCAAAGGCGAAGAGAAGACAGGCGGGCCAGGAGGAGTACTGAACTGATGAACTGGACTACCAGCATGGACTCCGTCACCCGATGACGGAGGGAGCTGGCCTTGTTGGGATATCTGAGGAGAAAGTCTTGCTGATTCTGGGGAGGTGAATGCAGAGGAAGTAGGCCGCTGATTGGGACCAGGCGTTAGGTTGCTAGATGAAGCAACTGCAGCAGAGTAACCCAGACGACGAGGTGGCTGAGGTGGAGTATCCATTTATGCTGGACTTAGTTGCTTCCTTGGCAGAATACAGTACTAATTCTGTCTGTCAACAAGAAGGAATAAACCATTACACCTGATGAAGAAACAGTATAGAAAGAACTCGAAATCCAATCTCAAACATGAATGACAAATCAATCATATTAAACCCCAAAAGTGTTGTCTCCTGTGAAGGGAAACAAGGCTAATAGATGGTGAACCCTAGGAAGATAAAGGGAAAAGGTATGAATAAAAAGATACTCTTTTGCCACCAAAGTGATCAATGAGGAGTCTCAAGAAGAGTCATGTCACAACCAGAATCAATTGGAATATTGGATCTGACGCATGGTAGGACACCCATCAAAGCCCTTATAAGTTCATTCAATTCTTTGCCCCCAGTTTCAACATGGGACTAAATTGGGACATTACATTACCACTCGTCCTCGTCAATGACCAATATAATCAAACCCTAACATGATACACACTAGGCGTAGACTAGGGGTGGCTCCATGTTATAACATGTCATTTAGCCCCATCCATTCATATAGTCATTTCCTACTCTACTCGATCCCTTCCCCAAGTCCAATGCTAGATCAGCTAGTATCATTAAAATGATATTGCATCCTGCCCTTTTTTTTGTCTACAAAGCCTTATTTGACCATTTTTAGACACACATCAATTTAGGGCAGTAAAAGAAAGTCAAAGTAATTTTATTCAAAACAGAAATTGTAAATATTTATTTTCAAAGAAACAACTATCTGAAAGTAGCAAAACAAGCTCTATTAGCTTGCACTAAAAGTCACCTAACAACAGAGGAAGATCTCCTCCACACAGGAATCAGGCTTACTGTTGTTAGAAGACAAATTCATTTAATGAACATTATAAAATTCATTAAATTAGCCAAATCAACATGCTAAATTAAATAACTAGCATGATTCAAAATAATTAAATCAACCTTGAAGTATAATCTAATTTAAGATATGATGGCATGAATTTCATCAATTATTATTTTGCTAATCATGTTTTAAAATTTAAATTAATAAAATAACATTATAAATCATGCAATATGATCTTAAAAATATAACCCTATTTTAAACACCGAATTTTCTAGAAAATTCAAACAACTAAAACATAGATCAAAATTTTCAACTTAAACTAAGGATAAAGGATCTACTTCTCTCAAAGATGATGATCCTCCTCCCTCTCGATCCTCATGGAAAGTCAATAGTTGAATAAAAGAAGGAGGGTACGTCCATTCTTAAATAGGAGCAAAAGGGAGGATTCTCCATAAGGAAAGAAAGTTTTTTATTTTTCATTTTAATTAATTAATTGTATTCGAAACACATTTCAATTGTTAATTATTTCTCCTAATCAGGTTACACAAACAAGGAATGAGGTAAGCTATATAAGACAAAACCCTAACTATAGAGATTTTCAATTTAGGAAATAGGAAAAGAAATCCAATGATTGATTACAAGACGAGCTAGAAAACCTAAGACGGATACTAATCCGAAGGAATGGGGAGATGCGAAAAGCATTTGTGGCCTCACGACGACCAGTCGAAGTGCGATCGTCTTGGAATCGAGAAAGAAAAGGAAGGAACAAATCGGACTTGGATCTATACCCTATGGAGAGACGGGGAGAGACTTAAGGATGGTTTGAGCAGTCTAGGGTTTAGGAGATGGATGGATCGGCGATTGAATCGAATCAAACGGAATAGATTACGAAGAAAAAGGAGTGGATTTGTCGAGATCGCGCGCGTACCTTGGAAAAGACGATCTAAGAAGGGTCGAGGGAAGAGAGAGGAAGAAACGGTCAGATTTATTCACCATCATCCCGCCTCTCTCCACCATCTGCTGCGACTTCAACGAAGGAATTCGCCTCTGGTCCTGGATGGATTTCATCCATGGTTGCCGCTTCCTCCTCCTCCTCCTCTTCCTCCTAGTTTGTCAGCGAGGTCACTCTGAAGCCACAACAATGGTGGAGCTATGCTGTATTCATTTTTGGAAAGGAGAAATCCAAGGACGGACGGAAGAAGAACGAGATGACGAGGAAAACAACATGACATGGAGAGACAAAAAAGGGGTTGGGGAGGCGCAACGAAAGATCTGAGCCACTCTCCTGAGATGTTCTCTCTCCGAGTCGACTCGGCTCTGGATCGGTGGGCGGGTTGCGTTGGGTTGGTGGTTTATGCCTTCTGGCACATGGCCTGACTCGGTTAATTTTGGCTACCGTTGGAAGCCCATTGAACCTGGTTATATCATAATATAAGTACTTTAAATAAGGTACTTTTATTATTTTCATTTTCTAAAAAAATATTTTAGATGATTTTCTTAAATCATCCAAAATATATTATAATATTCTTATTTTTTATTAAAATTTACTTTGAACTCTCAAATAAAAATCTTTAATACATATAATTAATTTGTAGCTAAATAAAATGAAAAAACAAAAATTAAAGCCATCAATTGTTAGTGAACACATTTTTATCATTTTAAAAAATAAAAACTCTCTCTAGACAATTTTCAAAATGAGAAGGCTATTGGAAAAAAGAAATTCAAAACTTAAAAAATTATTTTTATTTTAAAAAATATTTAAAAATAAAACTGAGATAAAAAATAACTTCAGTAGTATTAATTTGATGATGATATATCAAATCCACTTGCTAAAGGTTAAGATTTGATTATGATACATCAAATCCATTTACCATAGATTAACATTCCAAAATTCATATGATATATTTTTGAAAATGTCAATTAACTTAGTTGATAAACAGTTTTATAATGGAAACACCATCTCGATTAAAACAGTTGAAATCGACAACACAGTTTATCATCCCAAAAAGTTTATAATTCTAGAAAGAAATGGTAAGAGCACTTGAGAAATCCTATACAAAGCAATGAAACAAATTCCTTGACAACAACGCCTCTCTCTGCATCATTATTTTAAGGGCACTACACTTATGTAACGATTCCAATACATCACATTATGTATGTAGTCTTAACACAGTCCTCACGTGCTCCCAAATAGACGAGACAGAACCTTCATCCGGCAACTGATGCAAATGATTGTACTACACGTAATACACGTCGCTAGAAGCTCTGAAGAATAACTTGCACACATCAACACAAAATGTACTTACCTTCGAAACCCCCCTCACATACGAAGGACTGAGTCATGAAGAGATCATAAACTAAGGCCCTTATCTTGTGGAGAATTGGTGCCTCCAAAGTTTATTACCCTTTCTCTTGCAACAGAAAGATCATAGTACTTGCTTCCATCACTAGAGTTACTTGATCCAGCATCTTCATGCTCATTAGGCCAAGTGCTTTCTCCAAAGGATGGAGGCGAAGGCAGTCCCAGCCGCAGTGACAAGTCCCATCCGATTTTGGATGTCTCCATATGTGTCGAATCAGCCTTTGAGGCACCAATGTTGCTGCCAATGGGGCTCTCTGTGAAACTGATCTCAGCCTCATCAGGGGACTCAGCACATCGCATAGTGGCAGTTGCCATGTGATGTCTTGGGCCTTGAGTGATCTGAAAATGCTGACCGGAAACCACGTCACGTCGACTGTCACTGTAATACAATGGATACACTCCTGCCAAATTCGGACAGGTATAGCTCGCTAATGGAACAGAAACTCTTTCTTGGCAATAGGCAGAAGGCTTGATGGAGATAGGACACTCAGTTCTGTTGAAAACAGAGGAGTTTATATGGCCCCCAGATACACCGGAATTGTTGAACTTCACCTCTGGAATACTGCTACAAGTCATATTTGGGGGTCTAAACACGGCAGTGTACCAGGATGGAAACTCCGAAGCAGAGGTCTGTAGTTTGCCTTGGTTATGTTTTTTCTGCAACATGGACTCTAGGCTGTTACTGTCAGAGATTTTCAGAGAGGCAGTTCTGTTATCATTGGCCACGGGACTAAGATAGCACACTGGGTTGCTGCGGTGCTGGCTCTTTGAAACTCTTCTAGGAATGCAACCCAGATTAAGTGCCGCTGACAAGAGAGACAACAAAACAAGAAACATAAATTATGATCACAATATTCCCTGTTTGATATCATGAAATTGCATCTGTTGTGATGTTGTATGTGTGTGTGCACATGCCTACGTCAGCAGATTTCTAATATCAAGTTCTTTGGTTAATAAATGAAAGACCAACAAACCTCCAGTAACGGCATCTCTAAATGTGCTATGGTCTCAGAGCCAACAGTATAGAAGATAATAAAAACTAACACTAACAACAATGGCATTTCAGCAGAAAAAAAAACTGAGAAAGAAAAACAGAGTCATGAGCAGAAGTAGGGCTTGGGAAGTACTACCTTCAATACAAGGTTGCAAGAGATCTCCACTCTCCGTACCATCTTCCTTGCGAATGATAGTGTCGATAGCATCATTGACTCGATCCCGTAGTGTCTTGAGGTCCACATACTCTGCCTGCATTACCCACCACCCAAGAGACAGCACAATAAAATAACACATGTTTAGACCATTTTTGTAGTCTTGTAGATTTATTCATTTGATTTATAAGTGTCTTTTCATTTGATCTTATTGGTTTTTTCATTGATGCAAGTGTTTTCTTGTTTTATATCGTAGTGCAATTTCATTGGTGCAGATATTGTAATTTCATGGTAAAATACTAAACTGTCAAATGACATAGAGAGAAGGCAGGAAGGATAAGTAAAAAAAAAAAACATATAATGTCAACTGAGACTTTCAAATTTTTTGAAATGAATGGGAAAGTATCTTTCTGTTTGCATTTTCCCTAAAGAAAAGCTAGAAAATGGTTGGGAACTGAAAAGTGCATACCTCAGAGTTGGCTTTGGAGTACATTATCTCCTCAGCCTTGAGAACAACAAAGGGGAGCTTCTCCTGAAATTCCTTGTTCTTCCTGGTGGCGGGGCTGTGCACATCATTCGCCACTCTGAAAGAAAAGTAATAGCAGCACTAAGAATTGTAGTAAGGATGCATGACCATCAATCAACATCGAAATCTGCTGTTGTTCATGGGAAGGTGGTCATGGCACACAAATAGACACATACAATACATACATATACATACAGAAATGTCAACAAAACAAAACAAAAGTAAAAAAAAAAAACTTAACAGAGGCAGATAAAGGGTTGTGGACCTGAAGATCTCTTGAATGATGGACCCACGTATTGGTTGGTGCCTGTCACTGTGCCAAGCACGCCTCACACACTCATAAGGTCTCGGTCCTGGCCTTGGCATCTTTTCACCTCCTCTCTCTTTCTTTACCACACCATTGTTTAATCCACAAGTCCAATCCCCTGAGTAGCAAGGAACAATTATAAGATGTAAATACAACAAAAAGTGGGCAAAAAGGAGCTTATATTTTGATTTTTGAATTGAGTCTCAATTTTTTCACATGTAGATTCATGTGAAAAAACACTCCATTTTGTAATAACACATCAGTCTAAGAAGAGAAAGGAAATGTAGATTGTGAAGTCAAACCCAACACAACAGATAGATGTTCTTTGTTGGTTATCAAAATTGTGCTCCAGACATAATTAGCAAATCATTGTTTACCTACTTCTCCATCAGGTGCAAGTCAGATAATATACATTGTGATGAATGTTTTGTGTTGGAAAACCATTTTATAAGTTACATTTTTTTGTTTACATTTTAGCCAAGCATAAATGCCAGTGTAAAATAAAATCTTGAACACAATATGAGATAACCATAATTTTTCAACCTATTATTGGCTAGATACATAGGGGCATAAAACGAGATGATGAATTGGCAAATAAAAACAACCTATCAAAAAGATGGAAAGAGATGAAAGAGGACAGACAGGAAGTGGGAGGCAAAATATACAACCGGGACCATTCAAAAGTAAAGCAGTCATGGCAGATAAACATAATAACTCACAGGTCAAAGATCTCGAAAGGAAAGCATTATTACATCTAAGAATCTAAAAAGATCACTAGTTATCCAGCCTTTAACCCAAAATTTATGCTTCAATGGCATCTTCGACGACAAAAGCAATCATCATGTCTTACTTGGCCCTTAGATGTTAAGAGTAGAGCTAATTCCATGATATACACATTGTCTCTAAGAAAACACATGTCAAACATCTGAAGAGCTTAACTAACATGCAATTTCATTCAAGAAAAGGGTAATGAGTAAAAATTATAAGAGAGCAACAAACTGCTTGACAGAACCTTACCAGTGCTTCCTTATTCACTAAGCACTTCTCAATATCAATAGTTTTTGCCTGGAACAACATAATTAAAAAATTCAGTCTTTTAAGAATTAATCTTAAGAAACATATAATAAAAAATTTTCACAAGAAGCATCTACAAAAGATATCGCATCAATCAAGCTGCATCTGATATCTTTCCTCCAATAAATGACCTACGTTCAAGTCTTGCATATTGAAGTTGAATGGAGAAATGAAAATAACCATTGAATGCATCAGCCACAGATCAGTTATTCTACAATTTTATTAGGAACTATACAAAGACAGTATACAGGTAACTTACGTAATATCTTGCGGGTAGCAACTTGATGATAAATGAAATTAACCATTGAATGCATCAGCCACGGATCAGTTATTCTACAATATTGTAAGGAACTATACAAAGACAGTATATAGGTAACTTAAGTAATATCTCGCGGGTTGCCACTCCACCAAATTGTTCACCTAAATAAATGATTCGACCCAAATATTTGGATGGACTAAGTGATTAATTGATTAGACCAATCAAAGATTATGCCACAATAAAAATGAAGCACAAAGTGTCACAACTCGACCTGATGGGATAATTGGCCTACCAGCTTCATTTGGCCCAAACCACTGGTCAAAATACTTAAACTAAAGTTGATACTAATACCTCCATCAGACCCCCCTCACCATGATATAATATTAAGTCGACTCTGATACCAATTGTCACAACCCAACCTAATGGAATAACTAGCCGACCAATTTTGTTTAACCCAAACTACTGATCAAGATGCTTAGGCTAAAGTTGATGGTAATATCTCCATAAGTCAATCTAAGTTTTGTCCACTTTCGATGTGGGACTAATCAAAGTGCTACAGAAAAACTTTTTGTACGCATCTTAAATTATCTTTTTGTCCTTAGATTAGATCATAGTCATTTAAGATAGATAGAAAAAACATCACAAAGACAAATTTAAGTTGTCATTAAACT